TTTTATGAGCTGAACCAGAGTCATTTAGCCTCTTCAAAACTCAGCGTCAAATAGAAGGTCCTGGACAGAAAGGGATAAAACTGTAGGACAAACCTCCAATTCCTAAAAAAAGGCCACACTTAGCAGACCAATAGAGACTAGAGGAATTCCCAAGACTATTGCCCTAAGATGCCCTTTGAACTTGGAATGGAAGCCAGTCCTGGTGGACTCCTTTCATCCAAACAATAGATTGGCTTATAAAATAAACAGTATCACCCATGAATACTGGGCTCCCTTGAACAATCAACTGTATGAGACCAAACGGTCAGCATTTACCGTAAAACAAAGATGAGAAGCTAAGGAGGGGCAGGAAGCAAGATTAATGGAAACAGAACAAACAGAATGGAAATAATCAGAATATCGACACATTGTGAAAAATGTAATGGATGTCATGGAACAAGTTGTATAAAAATTGTTAAATGGCAACCTAATTTGCTATGTAAACTTTCTCCTAAAACACAATAAAACATTTAAAAAAAAAAAAAAGAAACCAATGCAAACAGACCAGCTTTCAATAGTAGAAGTAGCAATATCATAAAGGAAATAAATACCAAATTTGACACTGCAAAAATTAAAAAAATAAAATTAAAAAGAGCAATAAATAAAAGTCAGTAACACTGCAGGGTGGGGAGGGAGGCAGAATAGGCTGTTAAATTCATGTTTTATGTACCTATAAGATGGGTGCAGACATGGGGAAGATGCAACTTCATAGTTACCTCTTAGCACAGACTTCCAGATTAGGGCACAGCTAAGGCTGTGTAGGAGTCTCGGGTGGTGCAAATGGTTAATGTGTTTGGCTGTTAACCAAAAGTTTGGAGGTTCAAGTCAACCCAGAGGCACCTTGAAAGAAAGCCCTCACAATCTACTTCCAAAAAATCAGCCATTGAAAAACCCTATGGAGCATGGTTCTATTCTGGCACACACATGGGGTCGCCATGAGTCAGAGTTGACTTGCTGGCAGCTGATTTTATGGTTTATGATGATACGAGGCTGGGCAAAACACATCTCCCGCCTTTACAGTGTTTGACTGCTCTGCTATGAAATAGCTGTGTTCAGGGCACAACTGTTTCCCTGTCCTAGCAGATAACTCAGGCTGCCTGCTTGTAATTACAGAGTCACATAAAGTCTTTTAGGCCACAAGGACACCATTTAAGTTACTTACTGCTTCAGGAAATGAAACAACAGCCTATCAGGAGCTGAAGGAGTTAATACTTCTCTGTAAAACCCCCAAACCTACTGCCGTTGAGTCGATTTCAACTCAGTGAGTCTGCAGGACAGAGTAGAACTGCCCCATAGGATTTCCCAGGCTATAAATCTTTACAGAAACAGTCTACCACATCTTGCCTCTGCAGAGCAGCTGATGGGTGCAAACTGCTGGCCTTTTGGTTAGCAGCCAAGTGCTTCACCCCTGCACCACCAGGACTCTACAGTACCTCTCTAGCTGGCTGTAATTTACAGTTAATCTGTGTGCCTACTACTCCCAGGTTACAATTGATAGTGCATTGAAGGGACAGTGATGTCATGACTTCCTGCTTCTCCCCTTCCTAGCTACTCAAGGATGAGCTCACCAGGCAATTTAACTGTGAAAGCTATTTGATTTTTTTTTTTTTTTTTGGAACGTGCATTGCTGTGGTTAGAGGTATGGAAAGCCAAGTCTGTGTAGCCATGACTATGTATGTGAATAATTCATTATGTTTATAATCCACTGAAATGCTGATTTTCTAGTTAATAGTAAAAGTTACTTTTATTAAGCACTTTTACCCCATCAAAATTTTTTACTTTGGGGGTAGTTTTGAGAGTTGTTGGAGAGGGTGTGAGACAGGGCAACAGAATGCCATTTCATTCTAAAGCCAGCCTGTTGTTAACGGACCTGCTGCTTGAGGCTGATCTTTACAACCTGGGCAGTGTAGGAATACAAAGTCTACTCATTCATTCTTTCATTTCATGAACCTGTATTACAGACATTATTTGCAACTGTTTTATATCTAGGGTAACTAGAGAGAAATAGTACTCGGGTACTACCATCCAGAAATTCACATTCTAGAAGGGAAGATAGACCTACTGATAAATAATTATAGTACAGTCTGTCAATGCCATTTATCACAACATTTTAGGAAAACTGAGGAAAAAAAGTGCCTGAGATGGTACCTCAATAAGCTGGGAGCCCGATTCCTAGAGGAGACACCATTTGAACCCATCAGAGGCTTGAAAACTAGATTTGAGAGTTTCTGGAAAGACAAAAAAAGAAGGGACTTCCTAACACAGAGAACAGGGACCTGGAAGGGTGAGGTGGGAATATTAGTTTGGGAACCATGTTCCCATGGGCTGGGGAACGCATGCTGGCTTACTGCTAGTTTGGCAGCAAATCCTAACCTTCTATCTCACATATTCCCAGGAAATTTTGCAATTCAGCCATCATCTTTATGTACTGGCTTGGAATGATTAATGTTTCATTTAAACCCTACCCTCTCAGGATTTGAACTTAACTCCAAGAAAAGAAACTTGTTGTTATCACACAACCATACACCAATCAACAGAGATGGCTCCTTTACCAAGAGAATTGGCCAAAAAGGTTCAAAGCACATACTTTGTTCCGATTCTAAGAATTATATCCTGCAGCTTATATTTTTGATTATCTTATGGTGAATAACATAGGTTTGATTTTGACTTATAAAAAAATAATTCTACCAAAATCAAAGTCCTGGGGTTCAGTGCTTATCTATTTACTACCCAAAGTTTAGCTTGTTCCTATGATAGTCCAAGATTTCCACTTTGAAAAGAAAGTTGCTTCCAAGTGCAAAAAGCGTTACACTAAGGGATTTTCCTTTGCTTGTTAGGTTTCATTTCCCCCAGAAAATTGTGGTGTTCCTGAGGCATATAATGTACAACCTCAAGGTGACTGAATTTTTAGGTGATGAGACTTTGTGAATTCTTGCATATGTTGGTATCACAACACACCAACCTTTTTTTCTGGGTGCAGAGTATCAGCATTGGCCTTCCACCCCTGTTTTTCAGATTGGAGCATGCGGATACATTGAGAACTTGGTTCAAAATAGTTGCTGGTTGATCCAAGCGTTCAGCTTGGCCTGCACAGTCAAAGGCTACAAAATGCGTAAGTATGAAAAGCAAATTTGGGCATGGAAGAGGAGGAAAGGAGGGACAGTTGTATTGTTTTAATCTAGAAATTGGACAAATGCACATTAAAAAAAGAGATAAAAGTAAAGGTCAATCCTATCTCTAGATGGAGGCTGTAGAACTATAGTACACTATGGATTTATCACCTATACTCTAGGTATCTTTGATTACCTTCTAGAAACTTCCCAAACCTGGCAGGTCTGGAGATTAGGTGTGGTGCTATAGTAACTCCTGAACTTTTCGCGTTACAAGTAGGAGGGTTACAGGAGCCCACTTAAATCTCTAGTTGCTGAAGTTGGAGTCTTGGGTCATCAAGGCAACTCTGACTTCTAGACCCTTCTCTCCTCAGGAGGCTCAGGGACCTTCAAACTCATAAGAACAATTGGGAGGAGCATGAGGGTTACTGGATTTAGACTCCCGCCTGGTCAGAGGCAGAAGTCACATTTCCACCACTCTCACCTGTCATACCAGAATCCAGGACAACATCACACGTGATCTTCATGTGTGCCTACAATGGGGCCTACTGGAACGCTGCCCCTCCCCCAGTGCTCTTCCAATCCAGACTGCACTTTGCTAAGGATGGAGAGTCCCTAGAAGCTTTGTTTCATTTTGTTTTGTTTTTTTACTTAGTATAAGGTGTGTTGTTGATACCCCTTCTTCTAATAGATGACACTGTGTTAACTCTTATTCTGCTTACCCCTGGGTAGAGCCCATTCCTCAAATGGGTGCTTTCTTTTGTATCATAATATTATTTCCTGTGGTACTGGGATGTACAGACATCATTTCTCCAAGGCCCTTGTTGTGGGAGAAGAAAGTTTCCCTTCCCTGAGGGAGGAAATACTTAGGAGTCCTCCTTGGCAAAGAGGCCCTTCTGTTCCCTCCACTGTCAAGAGCTCACTTGTGATCAACCTTATGAATTAATGCTGACATTGGATTTGAAGTATGTGCCCTTATTTGTAATAAATCAACTTATAAGTAAGCGAATACTTCAGAGTTGTACTCTTATGCTTATTCGATTTCCCAAGACTAACTGTAGCACAGATTTTACAGAATACCAGTTGAAATGGATGTTGATTTTAATTTGTGTTTTCTACTTTGTTGCCCTAGCTGATGATGACTCCTCATGTAAACTACCCAGTGGGGAGGCAGGAATTATTTGGGACAGCATATGTTTTGCCTTCCTCCTGCTGCAAAGAAGGGTGTTCATGAGTTACTATTTCCTACATGTCGTGGCTGATATAAAAGCCTCACAGATCCTGGCATCAAGGTAGGTCAAGCCATAGAATCAAGTGGTTTCTCTTAGGAAACCTGTCTGAAAGTAAATTTCCCTTTACCTTCTGTCTGAGCTTACTTGTATAACCCTAATCTTATCCTTACTGAGAATCCCTTCCAGGAAAACTGATCCAAGAAGGCTTTAGGGCCAGGCTTTTAAGACTAAGGTAGACTAGTAACAAGGAAATCTATGGAGCCACGTCACACTTCACAAGGAATTGGGATACTTTGGAAGATGGGCTTTTCCAGGTCCAAAGACACACTGGGCTGGAGCCCCCTCTGTACAGCCTACCTCACTGGAAGAGCTCATTCTGGCCTCAGTCTCAGCAGTACCATAGGCCATGTCAGTCAGAGTTCAGTCCATCGTCCCCATCCCTGCCTCCATTTTAAGAAGAAACACCTGAAATGGAGAGAAACATAATTATCTATTATTTTTCAGATAATAAGTTAAATGGAGAAGTGGTGTATTGTTCCGACCTTATTTTAAACTCTTCTTATTTATCTTTTCTTACTCTTTCCTTCCTTCTAGTCTTTCCTCCCTAACCTCCTTATTTTCTTCTCTGGGCCACTGGAACAACTTGCATTACTATCTTCTTTTCTAGACTCCAGCCTTTTCCCAGTTTTCACCTTGATCTTGTGGGTTTAGGAGTAAAGGCTGGGAGGAGGAATAGGTATTAAGGAGAACACCATTGTATATGGGTGCATTGCCCCGGTGCGTGATCTCTCTGTGCTGTGCTTCTCAGAGAGGCTGACCGTACCTAAATCCCAGCTCATTAAAGATGCTATATAAGCTGAGATACTTCAGGTTGTGTCATATGAACTTACTAGCGTTCTGTCATTTTGTCTTATGGTTTAACCTAACATATCTGTGTGTATGCTACCAGTTCCCTAGGACCTAGTCTCTTCCCTGCCAGGAGAAACGGAATGTTCATTTCAAAAGTTCTCATATGAGGACAGTTCCCGGCCTTTGTTACCCACTTGGAGCCAAATACAAAGGGGACCTACATTTGATCCATGGATACTTGTGGGCCCCTCAGCCCTCACTACATAGCTGAATGTTGACTTCATTTTATGTGCTATATTGACCCTGGAATTTAGCTCTATAATTGCTTTTCTAATACTCAGGACTTTATTTTCAGAGTAGAGTATAATATCTCATCCCAGTAGGAAACTTATTCACTTGTACATAGCAGCTAGTATTTTGTAAATGCATCTTTTTTTGCCTTCCTTAAAACATTTGATCCTTAGAATTCCAGTACATAATAGTAAGCAGATTTCTTTTCCCCAAAGTTGTCAAAATTATTTAGAAAGCATGTGCTTCATGTTGTAGTATGGCTTTGGTTTGGAGAACAGCTCACATTTGTCCAAGTAAAGAAATGTCTTCATAAGGACTGAACTCACATGGAGCTACTAAAGAATGCAATTCATTCATTCATTCATGCCGTTGCTGCCCCTGCCCCCCTGGAGCTTGCAGACCAGTGGGAAAGTGAACTGATAGACAAGTAATTACATATAAGTGTGACTAGTATGACAGAAGGAGACAGCCAGGGAGCCATGGGAGCATAGCCAGGGCATATAGCCCACTGCAGCAGGCCTGGACCAAGGTGGCCTCCATCGTAAGCTGCGATTTGAAGGGTGAATAAGAGGCAGTCAGAGGAAGAGGGTAGGGGAAACAGCATGAGTGAAGTTACCAAGCTAAGTTCTCCCTGAGGAATTGTAAGAAGCTCAGAATGGCTAGGACACAGAGGTTGGAAATGAGGATAGTGAGTGGTAAGAGGTGAGCTGGCAAGGTCACCAGAAGAGGCCAGACACTCAGGGACCTGATACATGGTGCTGTGACATTAGGAGTGATCCCACAAACAAGATATTAAGTTAAACGGAGAATTGACGGGTTTAAGCAAGGGAGTCATTGGCATTGTAGAAAGATCACTCTGCTTGTGCTGTGAACAAGAGATTGGATATGAGCAGGACTGCTAGCAGAGGGACCAGTGAGGTGGCTGCTATGATGACCCAGGATAGAGATAGTGGCTAGGACAAAGATGGGATAAATTAGAAAGATGTTTAAGATGTAGAACTGGTACAACAGGACTGTTGATTGGAAGGAAGAAAGATGACACTGGGAAGGGCAGAGCAGAGGATAGCATGCCCAGGATTCTGGCTTGAACAAACAGTGGTGCCAGTCCCAGGTGTGGAGACACTAAGGAGCTGAAGGCTGGGAGAAAAGACAGGCTACAACTCTGGAGTTGCAGTTCTCGTCCCATTAAAAAAAAGTCCATTGTCAAGTTGATTCCACCTCATAGAAACCCTATAGGACAGGGTAGAACTGCCCCATAGGGTTTCCAAGGCTGTATATCTTTAACGAAGTCAACTACCACATCTTTGTCCTGTGGAACAGGTGGTGGGTTTGAACTGCCAACCTTTCAGTTAGCAGCCAAGTGATTAACCACTGCACCACCAAGGTTCCTGGCTCCTTGTAGGTGTCATGGGCACATGAAACTCAACAAGTTGGGTAGTCCAATGGGCAATTGAGCATACAGGTCTGGAGGCAAGAATAAATTTGAGGGTCATTTTACATAGATGGAATTGAAGCAGTAGAGTGGTTGGAGTTGCCTAGAGAGAATACAGAGAATAGGAAAAGAGGCCTGGGAACTTTCACATGCAAGATATGGGCAGAGAAGGAGGGTTGCAAAGGAGACCCAGCAGTCTGAGCACGAAAGGAAAATAGGAGAGCATGGTGCCTTAGAAGCCTGTGGAAGGTTGTTTCAAAGTGGAAGTTCAGCAGATGTATTCTATAAGGAAGACTGAAACTTTAACATTGAAATTTGTGACCTCCTATGTCAAAGCCCAATAGTAGTGAGCTGAGAGGAAAGCAGAGGTGGAGACTTGGAGACAGTGATGGCCAGAAACTGGAGTCTGAGGGGGCAGTGATTTAAGCCCACACAGACAAAAAATGTGGGGTGGACATGGTTTCTTATCCATTTTCTGGGGTTAGCAAGATTTGAGCATGACTCCATGCTAATGAAGCACATTTGGTACTGATGGCAAGGTTGAAAATGTAGAAAGAGAGGAATAAATGAAAGGACAGCATGCTTCCCACTGTGGGAGGGGACAGGACTGTGGTCCCAGAGAGCTGCAGGCAGCAGAGTGGCACCTCCTCCCCCACCCCTAGCCCCATCACTGGAAGGAAGGTGTTGGTGGAACAGCAGCAGGAAGTTGAGGGAGTTGTTGCCTCAAGACTTATACTATCTTTGGGAGGCTGGAAGCTGGGACATTTACTAGGAGTGAAAAGCCATTTGACAGAATTTGAGATCTGAGATACTTGGAAGGAGTTTGAAGTAGCTGCTATAGAGAAGCAGGAGACTTTCCGGGTGGTGTGGAGGGCTCAGCGGACAGCAAGCTGCTCACCTGCATTCTTCTCAGCAGCTGACAGCAGCCCTACTCCAGCAGGGCAGGCACACCATCAGATCTCCACAGACTTGGGACTTGCCAAGCAGTTGTGACCGGATGCTAATGGGACAGAGTTGAGGTTATTAAGAGGGGCTGAGGAGATTTATGGGATGTCAAGTTGGCTTGGAAAGTGAGGAAGAACGGAGGGAGTGGGAGACAGGAGGACGAAGGTCCAGCAGGGAGGGACTGGAAGCCCCGTTGATGAGCAGGAACTCTCCATGTTTCCCTCAGGAAGCCCCAGGTCCACTCCACACCGTCCCCTGCTCAGTGAGTAGAAAACCAAATGAAACTTGCTCTTCCTGTAAAGCCCTCCCTCGTAGTGCAAGCACAGTAAGGTCAGGTGAGTGGCACCTTGCTGAAGCATAATGTTTTAGGGACAATTTGAAGAGGTGCATGGCCTTTAATGTCTTGGAAAACAAACTATTTTCTTTTCACTGATCTCACAGGGTTGTGAGAAGCCCACTAACTCCCAGTTGGAAGTTTGTGCCTTTTTCATCCCCTGGGAAGGGGCCTCTGGACTGGGCCTTGGCAACTCCAACTGCCAGTCAGGAAACTTCAGTGAACTTCCAGAAGAGAGATGCTGTGTTTTCTAACCCGTAGGAATCATTTTCAGGGGAAGGTGACCAACACAACAAAAATGCTAATTTGTTCCATTTCCAATTTTCTTTAGAGGGGCTGAACTTTTCCAGGCCACCATTGTCAAGGCTGTAAAGGCAAGAATTGAGGAAGAGAAAAGGTCCATGGACCAGCTGAAGAGGCAGTAAGAATGGATTTCACTCTCATTCTCCTTCCTTTTACTTTCTGGTTCGAATGACCACGTTCAGCTGGTCTCAGCTCTTGGAGAGCCTCAACCCCCTGACACATCTATTTGTGTCAACTTTCACTACTCCCCAGATATTTGCTCTTGTGTCAGAGCAATTGCTTATACCTGTGAGACAGAAAATGAATGGAATGTAGTTTCAACGAAAGATAGTTGCAGTCTGGTGGAAAGGGAAGCAGACTCAGAAGACCGGCATTCAAATACTGGCTTAATTGCTGACTTTGGGACCTTGGGCAAGTCAATTAAATTTTCTGAATGTCAGTTTCCTGTTTTTACGGCTGACAATGCTACCTCCTGGGTTTTTGTAAAGACTAAATGCGTTAATGAATTAGATAGGGGCTTGCCCAGTGCCAAGCACTTGGAGTAAATGTCATTACACCTGTGGGTGAAGGGGAAAAATGTGGAGTCCTAGCTTTGGAAGGAAATAGAAGCCAGTGTCTTAGGGAAGAAACTGAGGAGCTGTGGCACTGGATGACTTATAGCTGACAGCTAACTCAAGGCAGCACTAGGAACATAATCCGTATCTCCCTATATTCAGGTCGAGGCTTATTCTTCCCACACCATTCTGGGTAAGTCAAGACTCCACCCAGAAGATTTGAGAATTCCTTTCTTTCTTTCGTTTTTATTAGTCCATTGAAAATAATTTTCTTAGAATGAAATTTTCAGTTATGAATGGAACTTCTGAGGATTAGTGGCACTTTATATGTTTGGGGATCATAGAATTCAGAACATAGCCACTTTCCCTAAGCAAATGGAGATACCCCCTCAAACCACCAGGAAAACTCCTCAAATTTGCCAGGGTAGCTTCATTCCATCCTGACCCCATTTACCAGCTTTTCCCCACACAGAAATGTTTGCCAGGATAAATTGAACTATTCAGTGGTGTGGTTATCTTCATAATCAAAGTGATGAGTCCTATAAAGAAATATAATGCCAGTACAATATGGGGTGACTGTTGCTATTTCTAACTATCTAAGTCAGGTGTAGAGGAATAAGAAATTTGGACCCACATTTAGAGTGTGTTCCTAATTTTTCATAAGTGAGACCTGTTATTGTAAGTCGCTTAACTGAATTTTTCCATTTGTTTAAGAATGCAAAACTTGATAAAGGACTTATATTTCATAATACGCCATGTTCAGAATGGCTAGGATACAAAGTGTGAGTGGACGTGAAGTATTTACATATTGAACTTTAGCGTGGCAATTTCTATTGATCGTATTATTAAGACTAGTACCCGTGTGCTGCCATTTAAGATGGACATGTTTTTTAAGAAGCAAGGAGATTCTTGTTGCTAATAAGCAACACTTTCACAATTCTCGAGTAATTGACTACTTTGTCCACGATTCCAGCTCAATACATAATAGCGTAAGCCCGAAGCACTGACCTCATGATAACTCTGCGTGGTGTTCTTGGCGTTGCTGATGCTATTTGCTTTTGTAGGATGGATCGCATCAAGGCCAGGCAACAGAAATACAAAAAGGGTAAAGAGAGAATGCTGAGCTTGACCCAGGAGTCGGGAGAAGGCCAGGATACCCAAAAGCTCTCTGAAGAGGATGATGAAAGTACGTCCAAGCTTTGTCTCTACCTCAAGTCCTCTAACAGTGACGATAGCATGATATTGGGTAGGACTGTAAGACCAGGTTTCTCATCATTCTGCCAGTGTTAGCAATGTCCTTTTTTTAACTCAGCAGTTGTTACCTTCCCACTGTGAGCGAGATGAGTTTGTTTTATAAAGTACACATCTGACGAGTGAATGACTTTTAGAGTATCTGCTCTTCACTGAGACAGCTTTAACGTGCCCATAATCTAGTTTCTGTTTCACAGACACCTGTTTCGGAGATAAATTAGCATGTCTTTGCCTAATTTATTCCTTTAACGAAGATATTTCAGATATACAGTCTACGATTGTCTTTTATAAATTTCATACAAAAATGAAATATGTATGCCTGTTTTATGTGGTATCTAAATATTGGTAGTTAAAGTGTCATTCAGTTATTGCCTATTCTAATGAAACCTAACATGAATTTATGTTTATTATATCTAATTATATATTTGTTATATCTAATTAGAGTTTAAGAGGTCTTTTTATAGATGTTTGCATGCTTTTCTGTTTGAAGGGAATAGAGAAATAATGTATGATTTTTTTTTCAGTACATACATAGTACCTGCCAATCACCAGTGAATTTATATTTCCCAGCCATTTATTAAAATGGTTATAAGCAAATTTTCTGGTTATTGGAAGGTATGCATTTTAACAAATTAGTTGCCACTAAATTGTTACGTTAAATTTGGGGGGTGATTCTTTTCAGTTAATTCTATAGAAAAGTCAGTGTGAGATGCATTGACAGGAAATCCCTTCTTTTTTATACTTCTTTATATGCCCTCAGTTGCTAAGTGAAAGTGAAAATGTGGCATACTGTTTAATAACAATTAGTATTTACCTTGTGAAATCAACTGTTAATACGTGCATACTTTACAGATTCAGTATAGTTCCTTTTCCTGACCTCTGATGTACAATTGATCTAGATTTGACAATTGAGTTGTTAAAGCGTGGTTTTCAAAATTTGTTTTCTCACTTTGTAAGAATTAATATTTGGACATATTTTATTTTAGGAGAAGCAGACAAACAGAAAGCCAAGGGCAAAAAAAAGCAGTGGTGGCGGCCTTGGGTTGATCATGCTTCCAGTAGGTTTCCGCGATCCTCTTACGATTTCATCGACTTTAACCCTTATATCCTTGACCAGAATTCAGGCATCCTCAGGACTGTGTGTTCTGTGCATGGTTTGATCCTTGTGACTTGATGGGGGTCTGAGTGTGGGAAATTGTGATGCAAATGGTTCTCTGAGCTCTGTGGACAGATTCTGGCTAAAGAAAGCTAAACATGTAGCTTAAGAACTCTTGAGCACCATTTATGGGCTCATCAAGGGAAGGAGAATTGACGATTTTATTATCTAATTCTGAGGTCTAGAGCTCTGCTGATATTCATTTGCTTATGGCTAAAAGCCTTTATGAAAAATGAGTTTTCACTTCTCCTCGGATTCTGATTTAACAATAATTATTATGTTCAAAAGCGTTCGTGACCCTCTTTGTAAGGCTCTTGGTGTCAATGCCAATGAGCCGCCACCCCCCGCCCCCTTTCCCAGAGCTTTGATTTTATTTGCATTTACGGTTTCTGGCATATAAAGATGAGGATGACTTAGATGCATTTACTCTCTCACTCTGCCTCCTCCCCAATTTCTAAAAGGCTCTGACGCTACACTCAGAATTCCAGTGCCCGGCACGTGTCACAGCTGCACAGCCATCTGCTGCCTGGTGATAGCCAATTAAAAAACAAAGATCAGGAAACTCTTTTTGAAAAGCAGAGCTTGATAGCCACGTAGAATGTAGTGTGCATCCCTTCTGATCCGGACACTGAGTGAGGACTTACGCAAGTCAGCAGCTGTGTTTGTCTTTCTTAGCCAAGGAAATGTCACACTGTTGAACAATGGCATAATAATAGAATGGCCCATTTCAATCTAGTCCTCCTTAAATTTGTTAGAATATTGAATAGTGATTCATTATTTTGAATGACTTACAATGTCTTCAGTCTTGTATTTCATACATCTCTATATCTGTAGCTAATCTAATCAGACAGAGAATATCACCAAGGCCCATAAAGTCACATGTTGATGTGATGGGCTCTGCTAATAGAATATTCAGAACCACTAGAAAGTCAAATATATCAGAATTTTTCCCCATACCTAATTCTTAGTGTCACATAGATCTGATATTGGCCTCTTTCACCCAAGAAATAATTTTCTAAAATCAGCAAGCTAATTTAGTGAAGCAGTGTTTGAAATCTGCTCAGTGTATTTGGACGTAATTAAATTTGATTCCAAAGATTGAATTTCAGCATTATGTCAGAAAGAATCTATGAGTTATAAACGAAATGTGTTTTATTTAGTTCTTTGTCCAAATCAAAAGACAAAGATTCTGGTTGAAATTCTGTGGCTGTCTTACCTCTTGTTCATTGGCTTGTTTGTTAGTCATGCTAACAGTCTAATAACATAGTGGACCATATGCTGATTTCTATCAAGTCACAAGTAAACTGTGCCTCTCCTTCTGCGTTAGAGGGCCCTTTGCCGGTTGAGAGAGACCTATCCATTTCTAAACTTTGTCATATTGAATGTTTTGTCATCTCACCTGGGGTCAAATTCCATTGCAATTACGGTTCTTTCCTTTTCTCATTGAAATGTCACATTTTGGAAGGAATTGGATACAGTCTTTGATAATCATCTTACAAGTTGGTAATAATTTAAAGAACTATTGGTGAAGGTTATCGACTTTAAATTTTCTGATTCATTTCACCCTCATTATATCAAGTTCTTGAAAACTGGTGTTAAATGAGATGTGCCTTGTTACAATACCTGTGGTGCAATAATGCAGGAGTGTGTGTGTGTCATAGTTGGGAATCAGATTCTGCAAGTGGTGTTAAAATCTTTCCGCAAAGCCTACTTTCTTTTATAAGCTCACGAGGAAAGACTATGTGGCTTAGTTTTTAGACTATGATGAGTACCAAAGCTTATCTTTATATCTGGAAGCACTGTATCCTGATCTATTGAGTTTCAGGCTTTCAAATAGATATTTCTTAGAGATACTAAGTGTAAAAATAAGTGCAGTTGAAATATCTATATCTGATGACAATATAAACATATTGTTATATTATTGGTGTTATTGGTAAACAGTGAAGATCTTAGTAAAGTCTGTGGGTGACACACTTCCCATTCCATGCCTATGTATACACATATGATTGCATTATTGCTGTTCAATGATACCTTCCATTCCAGAGTCATATGTCTTCATAGCAATTCAGTACACCCTAAACCAACGCCAAGCCTCACTTTATTGTTAAGTACATGAAATAAAGGGCCACGTTTCTGGGGATACGAGTGGTAGGATTTCAGAAGTTAATGTCATGCTCAGTGGTTCAGCAATAGCACCGACACCCATAACATATATATGGACGTAAGGTAGTGAGAGGATGTCTCTGCAGTCACAAACGTGTGTGTGATAGCTTTTCTTAAAATCATCCAAGATAACACTAAAGAAAGTATTCTTTAGTGTTTTCCTAGTTTTATTTCAGGAACACGTTATAAAGGAACATTTCCTTGTATGTGTGTGTTAATTCCACTTATATACCTACAAATTGGCGACTTTTTAATGATAAAAATCGATGTTATGACTGCTTGAAATCAAAACTGCTTGGGTTCCCTGTGTCCCTATGGATAGAAGTTATAGAAGGTATGATTGAATACAGTTTAAGCTATTCTTGATTTTTGAGCCTATAATGAGGGTGAAATGCTCAGTCTTATAATACTCTGTCTTTCCCAAATGACCATGTGACGTAGAGTCTCTGTAACTTTCCTGCGAATCTCTCAGCTTACATGAGGCAGTACTTTCACGGTCTTCCTCACTGTCAGATGTAATGCTGTGACTTTGGTTTGTTCTGCTTATTCTTACCTTACGTTGTATTGCACTTATTTCCTCAGGCCTGGGCCCGTTATTGTGAGCCTGGTTCTTTCTCCAAAATAAAAATCACAAATTACAGTGCTTCTGTTCAAGGATATAAGGCCCAATTCATTCACTCTGCATCTTCATGAATGGAGGCTTCAGATTCGGCTGAAATCATGGGCAAGAGCACTTTGCTTTTGACCATGTCTAGTAACACTCAAGCAGCTAATTGTAAACAAGCCAAGGTTTCCCATTACCTTACAACGTGTGAGTCCAAAACATAACTTAAGACGTCATGTTGTGTCATCCAAAACTGTCTCAGCATTTGAAAACCTGAATATAATTTGAAATTATTAATGTTTTCCTGCAATGATGGTGCAGTTATTGTAGCATCAGACATGTATATACTTGGTCTCTTTTCTCTGATGAACTTAAAATAATTATCATCAAACTGAGAAAGATTTAATTTCTCAAATTTCTTCAAATCTCGGGACATGTCAGCTTTCTCTGCTCCAGAATCTTACCACAAGCAACATGTTCTTGCAGGCAAATGTCAAACGAGGCAAAGACAGTCCATAATGTTTGTGCTGTATGTCTTGTGGCCAGTATAGTTCTCCTCCAATGAAAATAAGCTATGAGGAGCCCTGGTGGCACAGTGGTTAAATTCTCAGCTACTAACCGAAAGGTCGGTGGTTCAAACCCACCAGCTGTTCTGCGGGAGAAAGATGTGGCGGTCTGCTTCCATAAAGATTATAGCCTTGGAAACCCTGTGGGCCAGTTCTACTCTGTCCTATAGGGTCACTATGAGTCAGAATTGACTCAGTGGTGATGTTTTTTGTTTTTGTTTTTTTATGAGGTGCTCCTTGTTGTCCAGAAGACAAACAGTGCTAAACCCTGTGGACAGGTCTGCCATGCCTCAGTCTGTTCCAATGGCGATGTGTGGAAATCCCCAGTTGTACATTTTCTATATTTTTTAATGTTAGCTGCCCATTTCCTGCTCGTGGCAATATGTTATTTTTTACACCTCCTTCAAATGTATTGCCATCTCTGTTATTCCCCTGAGTTAACATGTGGAAAAGCCAGGTCTGCACAGTATAAAGTGAAGTAGGAGGTTGGTGACATCAGTTCTTGGTCCCCAGTCATCCTGATTGCCCTGTAGCCCCTTGGGCCTGTTGGAATAATGACAGATCCTCCACTTCACTTTGGCCTTGTCTAAAGGACCAAAACTGCTGAACTCTGAAACCATTGTTTCTGTTATTTTGGCCATCTGGGTAACCAAGCTGGTTGCTGCAGAGCTGATCTGACTTCTCTGTGTAAAATTTACAAGGTTGGGAGAAGATAGTGGTTGGAGTGGCTAATTCATGTTTGTGGCATAGACAAGGCCTCGTACTCGGTGGACCAAATCACGGCAGCTCCACGCAGTGTCAGCCTGAAATGAGTTCTGTTCATCTCCTGTTTCTTCCTCACTGCCAGCATCTCTTGCTGTGGTCCCTTTATGGACAATTTGTATATCTTAAGGGGTCATTTCATTACTAAGGCCCCAATTATCTCATATCCCTTTCAAGAAATAAGTAAATATTCTGTTTTGCTTAGTGGTCAGAAGTGGAGATTATTATTTGTTTGAAACGGATAGTGAAGAGGAAGAGGAGGAAGAATTAAAAAAAGAAGAGGAAGAACCTCCAAGAAGGTCAGCGTTCCAGGTAATTGCGGCGCTGGGGAAAATAATGTCCTGTGCAAGCCAGCCGAGTTTTCTTACTGACAGACCTTGATTTCAGATCTGGGTCTCTACGGCCTTATTCCTGTGTGCTCTAGCTCCCAGAAGCTTGTACTTCCCACCTGACATTGCTATGTCTAACTCAACTGTAGCACTGCTTGCTCTCAGCATTGCCGCCATACTGGCCTGCAAAAGCTGTGGGTTGGCCCAGTCTTCATTCACCTGCATCAACAAATGTTCTGATGCTACAAATGGAAAACAAAGCTTCCTCGGGTGAACTTTATTTTCTTGTTGCAAGGAGGGGGTGAAGAAGACTTCTTTTCTCTGGCATTGCTTTGTATTGCTTGAATGGACTTATGTTTCAGTATGTGATAAAATAATTTTTATTTTTATTAAAATACTTTCATTTTGGGATAAGACAAATTATCTTTTAAATGTAGCTTCAGAATTTGAAAATCAGTTTCATTTTTATTTCTGAAGGTTTTAGAGTTTATTTAAGTATAAAAATGTCTAGCATAGTTCTGATTGTTCCAGTTTAACTGCCTTTCTTTTTCAGAGCCTGCTGCATTTTTCTCAGCTGTGTAGTTCGCCAGCCTCGTATAGTCTGTCTGGTGAATGTATAATCAGTGCTTATTAAAGATGAGGCTTTGTCTTTAGAGCTACACATAGGATGAAAATGTCTTCTATGAAGGAGACACTCTAGGACTGTGATTTCCCATAACCTCTTGTTAAACTACAAGGCACACAGAATGACATCCATCAAAGTCACATAATGTGGGAGCTTGGTGTTGCTTGTGCCCATGCTAAGGCCATTGCCAGGATGATGGCCAGGTCATTTCAAGCTGGCCAGTTACAGCCATCTCCATCCTCCCAATGAAACGGAAGAACTGAGTTATCACGGAGATACTTTGCTCTGTTGCTTTCTTACTGGCCCCATTGCTACCTGTGTATTTCCTGATAAGCGTGTTTGTGTGCATGTGTGCCGATACCTTGTCTAGTACTAATGAGTCACTTGTTTATTTTTATTCTGATGAGGTGTATTTCTAACCATTATTCATCACGCAGCAAGGGAAAGAACACGAACATCTTCACCATTTTTTTATGGGTTACATGCACTGATTAGATATTTTCCTTATTCCTAACTTACAAGCAAAGCACATTTTATCCTAGCTTCAGTGATTGGCACATTTTAACCCAGTCGATATAATTGTAGAGATAAACTCATATAGACGTCATGTATTAAATTATTAGTTTTTGGTTTTTTCTACTAATTATTCTTGCTTTGTCCTTCTTTGTAGAGAGCTATTGGGAAGTTTGCATCAGCCATTTTAGCCTTGCCAAAGTCTGTCATTAAACTTCCCAAAACTATTCTTCAGTATTTAATCAGAGCTGCAAAGGTATTTGATGTTTTACTGATGGGTAGTGTGTGACTCTCCGCTCCATGGAACTTTAGGCAAACATACCCCGTTGCCCTCCATCTGCATTTTCCCTGCTCTATACAGTATACAGTGAAGGAATTATAAGAATTTTAAAAATTAGGCAGACCTTTCAAAAGGAGTTCTTAAAAGCCAAATTTTTTTTTATTATCTGTCTCTTGTTTTAAAGTTGATGCCACAGACTATCAAAAAATAGGAAGAGAAAATGCAGATACACATGTACTTTCTGTCCTCTCATAGTTTTGCCTAAGTCACATCTTGTTTTAAAAGGGTCACATCTGGTTGCATGCATCAGTTATGATGAGTAAAAGTGAAATAATTTTTCTCAGAAAGCTGGTAAATTTCGGGATAAGCAAATAAAAGGCTCATTTTGCCCCATCTCATTTTTGGCTTCCATTGGGTCTTCATCTTCCTGGCTTGGACCTTCCATTTCCTATTCTGAATTTAGTCAAGTCCCTGTCTAGACAGTTCTTTTGCTGTCTACAGTCCGTTTAGCTCCTAACTCCCATGTAATCAGTGACGTTCTTTTGAATAAAGTGTTAACAATTGTTTGGTAATTAATCTAAGGTACAACAAATTATTGAGCTACCTGTGCAATCCATTACGGAAAATTATTAATTAATTACTGTTCTTATATTTTATAGAAAGCTGTTTCTCCTGAACTCAGTCTGGGACTTAACCTTTTTGTCCTTATGCTCCTCCAGTGTTAAACAAATGGTTAGGATAGGGAGCTAGACCAGTGCTTCTCACGTTTTCCCTGGGGACTTGATTTAAAAGCAGATACTGATTCAGCAGGTCGAGATTCTGCATTTTTCTCCAGCTCCCATGTGAAGTGAGACTATGGGCTCTCATTTGATGAGCAGAGTTGCGTTTTTAACCTGCCAGGAGTTTAATACTCACTGTGAACACTTAATACTGCTATCTCCCTGCAACCCTTTTTCTCAACTGTTCTTTTATATGACCACACCAGTCCCTCAATTCATATTTCAGAATGTATTTAAATGAAATACTGCAGCAGAACTATTCCCCATCTTTAAAACAAATCATCTCCTCATATACAACATAAAGAAGGTCCAGAACAGATGATGAAAACTTACCTATTTCAGCAAAGGATATCCACTTCAATAAAGCTCTCCCTTATTTTAAAGAATAAATGTATTTTTGCATAATAAATTTTCATAAAATGAATCCCATTTTCTATCAGGTGGGATAAAATTTACAGCGACAAAGTAAAAATTGGTACGTTTCCCTAAGAAACTTCCCCTTCTTTACTCAGTAAGAATTTCCTCCCCATTCTTTATCAGTGTTTTCCTATCACAGTCAGACTGAAGCAAAATGGACCCTCTAGCAGAAGTTCCTAGAACTATAAAATATTTGTATTTCAAACATCATCACTAAGAGAATTCACCTACTAACAAGAAATTATCGTATGGTTCCCTCCCCTCTCTGCTTTCGCTCTTATCTGCTTCTCATCTCAGTGAGAAAGCAAGGATAGGTTTCATAATTTAGGTGTCTTCTGTAGAACCAGGAGTCTGGGTGGTGTAAACAGCTGCTAACCGAAAGGTTGGAGGCTCAAGTCCACCCAGAGGCACCTCAAAGGAAAGGCTTGGTGATCTACTTCTTAAAAATCAGCCATTAAAAACCCTGTGGAGCAGTTTTAATCTGACACACATGGGGTCGCCAGAAGTCGGAGTCAACTCATTGGCGACTGGTTACTGGTTTATGTAGAACCAGGAGTTCTCTTCAGTATTTCAGCATGCTAATGGTATGCACCTTCCTTGGAGACTTCTCCAGTCCATGTTAACACCCTCCTCTCTCCTTCTCTCTTCCTGTTAGAGGTTTCATTTTCTCCAGATCAAAAGAATTCCTCCAACCTGGGTGCCCTAGTACATTCACAAATCCTGAGGGTTTTGTTTTGTTTTCTATTTTTAGGATTCTTGTATTATCTAAAAACAATATTGTAATAATACTCTTTTTAAGGAAATATTACTGTATGTTACTCTTAGCCTGAAAATTTCTTCAGATTAATAATTCAGGTTCTTTTAAAAGAACCAGTGACGCAAGCTTGCTTATTAATGTACTAAACCTCAGAGATAGTCTTAATAGAATTCCCAGTTAACGTGCTCAATAAACGTCTACTATAAATTCCTTTAGTCGGCCCTTCTCCTTCAAATTCCAGTTTATTTCTCATTTTTAAACATGTTTTTGTCATAAAATAGGATAATTTTTGCCTCTTGGATTTGTTATTTGGAAACAATACAAAATGTTGCATTTGCGTTATTTGCCCCTAAGATGCAGATTTCTAGCAGTGAGGAAAACTAAATGTTCTTCCTTAGTAACCTATGACCGTCACATTTCCATATATGGAAAGTTGAATCCTTCTTTATTTTCTATTGCTATCACAATACCAATGGTTTGCTTATGCTGTGTTTTTCAAAGATTTCAGAAATCTGAAAATAATATAGAATAAAATAAAAGTGTCTGGGTTTACAAGAGCCCCAACAAAACATTCATGTAGCTTTATCATCATAATGGAAAACCCAGCTTCCCTGAGACCCAGGTGTGTCTGTGGGTGCATGAGGGGCATGTCTGCCTGGCTTGATGATGTCGGTGGCTGACTCTGAACCAAGGTTTTCTTCTTGTATCTTCTGCATGACTCGGGAGACTGTGGCTGGGTGGGCTGTTCACAATTGCTCTATTGTGGTTATTGGTTACCGTATAATCTTAACTATGACTGTTTTCAGCTTTTGAACGAAAATGACAAAAGGCACCCCAAAGCACTGCAGTTTTCCTTCCCTACTATTCTGGAATAACTACTTCACTCTTTCAGTCACTAGTGCTTACTTTCTTGGTGTTGTTGGAAGAAAACATTAAAATACTATGTTTTTTCCCCTTAAAACACTAATCCAAAGCCCTTTCTCGTGTTGCTGGTAATATTCAGCTGTTATTCACAGCGGAGAGTATCAGATGTGCAGAACTATTTACCCAAAGTGAATAAGACTATTAACAATGTTTTGTTTTTTATCAGAGTTTATTTATGATGGGAGAAAATTACTCTAATAATACGTAGGCTTCCAGCTTATTTATAATATGTGTAATGCAAATGAATCAGTAACTAATTGTCACAGATGGTGACAGTATTGGGGAGAAATGGTTATACCCAGTTTATTTCATGGTTGTGTATGGTAACTACCAAACAAAATCTATTCCCAAAATGTTTGTTTCCATGTTTTAGCTCATGATAGTGAAATTAGTGGAAGTCAGCTCAACATATTGAGGTGGGAAAGGAATAGCTAGCTTGTGTTAGGAGAAAAAATTATTTCCAAAGGTCAGGAAGATTGCCCTTGAGTGTTTTCAGATGTAGGTCCCTTTTCTTTTCATTTCAAATTGTTAAAAAGCCAGAAAATAATTCAATGTACTCCCTTTAGTTTGTTTATCAAGCCTGGATAACTGATCCTAAAACAGCCCTCCGACAGAGACGCAAAGAGAAAAAAAGGTCTGCCCGAGAAGAACAGAAACGGCGGAGGACGGGATCTGGGGAGGGTGAGTACTGCTGGTGGGCCGCAAGCCTGGCCAGCGCCCCCTGCTCTGCGGCCCTCAGAGAAGAAGGAAGAGTTGCCGGGGACAGAAGCTTGGTGGGGATGCAATAAGTAAAAGATAAGATTAAAAGCTGTTCTTGGGAAAAAGCCAATAAAAAACGTTTGCAGTTTGATGAAGGAAAACACACTTAAACAATACTCAGGGATAAAAAACGAAACAACTGCAAATACAGAAGAAATTTTATAAATTGTAAAAGAATACTGTAGTCAACATTATACCAATACATTTGAGAACATATGATATGAAAAATTTTATAAGGGGGGAAAAAAGTTCTAAATGACAGTAATACACACCAAAAGCAGAGTTACAGTACAAGTGGCACACTCAGGGAAAATACTTTCATCACATATATCAGACTGAAGATTAGTATTCTGGATATACAAAAAACTCCTAAAATTCAGTAAAAGAAAAATTCAGCCCAATAGGTAAAAGGATATGAAAAGGAAATTCACAGGCAAGAGAACAGAAATGGTGCTCAGCCTGGGAAACACAAATCCCATATTTTACATACTGATTTTTACCTATCAGATTGGCAGAAACCTAAACATAACATTACATGTTCGGGAGGTTGTGGGAAATGAAGTACATGAACACACTATGAATGCTCGTGTCGAGCAGTGTATCCACTTGAAGGTCAAGATGTCAATATCTATTAAAATTTCAACCGTACACATCCCACTACGGATCAGTTCCACTTCTAGGTACATAGTTTAGCCTGAAGCACTGTTTACGCATGTGTACAAGGACACATCCCTAAGAATATTCATCAACCATTGTTAGTAACAAAAATTTGGAAACATCCTTACTATCCACATAAAGAATAAGAGTCAAATAAATTATGTCACCAACGTATTATGGAATACTATTCAGTAGTTTAAAAATGAGATAGATCTCTTTGAACTGACATGGAGACCAATTCCTGATATTGTTGAGTGAAAAAAAAATCAAGTTGCAAGCTGAAACCATTTATGAAATGGAACAAAAGTACCTCAAGACAATATCATGCATTTTTAATGAGTACATATAATGCAAGCGAAAGATCAGGAAGGTTATTTAGCAATTTAATAACAGTAGTTACCTGTGGAGGTGTGGAGAGACTGAGATTGAGTGGTATGATCAAAGGGGACCTTAGGTTCATCTCTTACATTTTGGTTCTTTACAAAAAAAATGTGTGGTTTCTTATGAAATTAAAACTGCATCGGAAAATAAAAACAAAATAATTTTTAATGGGGCTCTAACTGCAGAACCTGTTTCCTTTTTGAACATTCTGTGCTCTCCCCTCCCACACACACACACCTCTTGGCAACTTTATTTTTACTTTATTAGCTTAAAAAGATGAAATTAATACACACTCAATGTAGCCATTCAAGCAGTAAAGAGGTAGATAGGTAATCCCCTCAAACCCTATCCTCTAGGTACCAAATCCTAATAGTTATGTTGTGTTCACTTCCACTCCTTTTTTCTTTTATTTGTTTAGTTGCTTTCAAAAATGAGCTCATGCTATACAAATTACTCTTGCTCTTTCATTAACAATGTACCGTGAAAGTTTCTCCAATTAAGTATTTATAAAACTATATAACTCTTTTTTAATAGCTGCAAAATATTCTATAATAAGGATATGCATAATTTATTCAACTATTCTATCACTAATGGATATAAATGTTGCTTCTAGATTTTTGTTATGGTGAACAATGCTATAATAGATATCCTTATACAAATATTTTGGAGCCCTGGTGGCACAGTGGTTAAGAGCTCAGCAGCTAACCAAAAGGTCGGCAGTTTGAATCCAGCAGCTGCTCCTTGGAAACCCTATGGGGCAGTTCTACTCTGTCCTATAGGGTTGCTATGAGTCGGAATCAACTCAACAGCAATGAGTTTGTGTTTTGTTATACAAATATTTAAATAAAGTGGTACATATATGTGTGCGTGTTTAAATGTACAGCGAACAGTCAAGAAAACATGCACTTTCCATAGGATAGATTATCAAAAGGGGGATTTCTGAATTAAAGGGTGTGTCTACTTTTACTTTAATAGATATTTCCCCCAAAAGGTTTAGTAATTTATACTCCTACAAGCAAGGTACAGATGTGTCCATTTTCCTGTAGCTTTATATGCAGGTTATTACTGATTTTTGTTGTGTTTCTGAGGAATGACAGTGACTTTTATTTTCATTTGAATTTTCCTAATTTATGAGCTGAGCATTTTTTATTTTATATTTTCTTGGTAATATATATTTCCAGTTCTAAGATTTAAACATTTGTATCACTTTTTCATAATGTTATTCTATTGAGTTGTTTTTTTTTTCTTATTAATTTAGGGGCTATGTATATATTACAGATGTTATCCTTTTTTCGTGTGTTACAAATATTTTTTCCAATGTAATACTTACCTTTTGATTTAGTTTATAGTAGATGTTACCTAAACAATTTTTAATTCTTTCTGATAATAGGTCTAAATTTCTCTTTGCACTTTCTAGGTTTCCATTTTGCTTAAGAAAGTCCCTCCCCCCGAATATTCTGCAAATGTTTTCCTCTAATACCTTCTAATTTTATTTACATCTTGAATTTTTTATTATGCTATGAAGGAGAGAGCTAATGTTGTTTACTTTTAGATGGATAGGCAATTACTGTAATTTTCACAAATACCATGCAGCTTCTACGTTTGATGGCCAACCCTTCCTCCCTCCATGAGGTATTTTCCTAAGCACCACTATGCTGATTTTTGTTTACATGTTGCTATAAAAAAAAAAATAGCATAGCATGCTTACAAGAATACCTGGTGCGAGCAGGGAGCAGTTGACAAACAAATGTAGAAGACACGTGTTGTTTTGTAAAGATACGGTATGCTGTCCCTATTTATTACATTAGTCTTCATTTTTCTATTGAAATCAGATGCTACTTCTGTCAACTTTAAGCTTCTGTTGATTCTTAGGTGTATTTCTGGACTCTGTGCCCTAAACTACTCTTCTGTTGTCTGGTTCTGGGCCAGTGCTGTATGCTTTTGAGCCCAGTAATTGTAGAGTCAGTTTTAATATTTAGTAAGACAAACTCCCCTCAGTACCCTTTTTTTTGTTTTCAAAATTGTCTTTGCTTTTCTGAGACATTCGTTCTTTCAAAAGTATTTGACCAGTTCTAAAAATGTGTCCCTTAGTCATCTCAATAACATCTCATTACTTTGTATCATATGGAGATGCACCATTGTTTTCCTATAAACCAAAGACAATGGTCAGCAATGATTTTAAAATACTGGAGCCTGAAATAAAATTCCCATACCTTCTTGGTGCAAGAGGTCTCTTCTAGGTCTCTTACAGACACATGAAGCATACAGACTCTGTCCTTATGAAATGCTAGGTGCTATTGTAAGTGCCCCCACACGTCTGCCAGTTTGTCATACTATGGGGGCAAGTGTGTTGCTGTGATACTGGAAGCTATGCCACTGGTATTCAATTACCAGCAGGGTTACCCATGGCAGACAGGTTTCAGCTGAGCTTCCAGACTAAGATAGACTAGGAAGAAGGACCCGGCGGTCTACTTCTGAAAAGAAGTAGCCAGTGAAAACCTTATGAATAGCAGCGGAACACTGTCTGATATAGTGCCAAAAGATGAGCCCCTCAGATTGGAAGGCATTCAAAATACAACTGGGGAAGAGCTGCCTCCTCAAAGTAGAGTTGACCTTAATGACGTGGATGGAGTCAAGCTTTCAGGACTTTCATTTGCTGAGGTGGCAAGAGTCAAAATGAGAAGAAACAACTGCAAACATTCATTAATAATCAGAACCTGGAATGTACAAAGTATGAATCTAGGAAAATTGGAAAGCGTCAGAAATGAAATGGAACACATAAAGATTGATATCCTAGGCATTAGTAAGCTGAAATGGACTGGTACTGGTCATTTTGAATCGGACAATCTACTATGCAGGGAATGGCAACTTGAAGAGGAATGGAGTTGCATTCATCATCAAAAAGAACTTTTCAAGATCTCTTCTGAAGTACAGCACTGTCAGTGATAGGATAATATCCATACACCTACAAGGAAGACCAGTTAATATGACTATTATTCAAATTTACGCACCAACCACTAAGGTCAAAGATGAAGAAATTGAAGATTCTTACCAACTTCTGCAGCCTGAAATTGATCGAACATGCAATCAGGATGCACTGATAATTACTGGTGATCGGAGTGAGAAAGTTGGAAACAAAGAAGAAGCATCAGTAGTTGGAAAATATGGCCTTGGTGACAGAAACGATGCCAGAGATTGCATGATTGAATTTTGCAAGGCCAGTGACTTCTTCATTGCAAATACCTTTTTTCACCAACATAAACAGTGACTATACACATGGTCCTTGCCAGATGGACTACCAGGAATCAAATTGACAACATCTGTGGATAGAGACAATGGAAAAACTCAATACCATCAGTTAGAACAACGCCAGGGGCCGACTACGGATCAGACCATCAATTACTCATATGCAAGTTCAAGTTGAAACTGAAGAAAATTAGAACAAGTCCACAAGAGCCAAAGTACAACCTTGAGTATATCCCACCTGAATTTAGAGACCATCTCAAGAATAGATTTGAGGCATTGAACACTAATGACCGAAGACCAGACGAGTTGTGGAATGACGTCAAGGACATCATACCTGAAGAAAGTAAGAGGTCATTAAAAAGACAAGAGAAAAAGAAAAGACCTAAATGGATATCAGAAGAGACTCTGAAACTTGCTCTTGAACATCTAAAGCAAATGGAAGAAATGATGAAGTAAAAGAGCTGAACAGAAGATTTCAAAGGGCAGCCCGAGAAGACAAAGTAAAGTATTATGATGACGTGCAAAGAGCTGGAGATAGAAAACCAAAAGGGAAGGACATGCTCAGCATTTCTGAAGCTGAAAGAACTGAAGAAAAAATTCAAGCATCAAGTTGCAATACTGAAGGATTCTACCGGGAAAATATTAAACGACACAGGAAGCATCAAAAGAAGATGGAAGGAAATACACAGAGTCACTATGCCAAAAAGAATTGGTCGATGTTCAACCATTTCAGGAGGTAACATATGATCAGGAACCGATAGTACTGAAAGAAGAAGTCCAAGCTGCACTGAAGACATTGGTGATAAACAAGGTTCTGGGAATTGACGGAATACCAGTTGAGATGTTTCAACAAATGGATGCAATGCTGTATGTGCTCTCTCATCTATGCCAAGAAATTTGAAAGATAGCTACCTGGCCAATTGACTGGAAGAGATCCATATTATGCCTATTCCCAAGAAAGGTGATCCAACTGAATGTGGAATTTATCAAACAATATCATTAGTATCACATGCAAGCAAAATTTTGCTGAAGATCATTCAAAAGCGGCTGCAGCAGTATATTGACAAGGAACTGCTAGAAATTCAAGCTGGATTTAGAGGAGGACATGGAACCAGGGATATATCATCACTGGTGTTGGATGGATCCTGGCTGAAAGCAGAAAATACCAGAAAGATGTTTGTTTACCCTGTGTTTTATTGACTTTGCTAAGGCATTCAACTGTGTGGATCATAACAAATTATGGATTGCGAAGAAAGGGAATTCCAGAACACTTAATTGTGCTCATGAGGAATCTGTACATGGATCAAGAGGCAGTTGTTCGAACAGAACAAGGGGATACCGTATGGTTTAAAGTCAGGAAAGGTGTGCGTCAGGGTTGTATCCTTTCCCCATACCTATTCAATCTGTACGCTGAGCAAATAATCCGAGAAGCTGGACTATATGAAGAACATGGCATTAGGATTGGAGGAAGACTCATTAACAACCTACGTTATGCAGATGACACAACCTTGTTTACTGAAAGTGAAGAGGACTTGAAGCACTTACTGTTTAAGATGAAAGACCACAGCCTTCAGTATGGATTACACCTCAACATAAAGAAAACAAGAATCCTCACAACTGGACCAGTAAGCAACATCATGATAAATGGAGAAAAGATTGAGGTTGTCAAGGATTTTTATTTTACTTGGATCCACAATCAACACCCATGGAAGCAGCAGCATTGCATTGCATTGGGCAAATTCACTGCAAAAGACCTCTTTAAAGTGTTGAAAAGCAAATATGTCACCTTGAGGACTAAGGTGCACCTGAACCAAGCCATGGTGTTTTCAGTTGCCTCATATGCTTGCGAAAGCTGGACGATGAATAAGGAATTCTGAAGAACTGACACCTTTGAATTAGGGTGTTGGCGAAGAGTATTGAATATACCATGGACTGCCAAAAGAATGAACAAGTCTGTCTTGGAAGAAGTACAACCAGAATGCTCCTGAGAAGCAAGGATGGTGAGGCTACGTCTCACATACTTTGGACATGTTATCAGGAGGGATCAGTCCCTGGAGAAAGACATCATGCTTGGTCAGCAAAAAAGAGGAAGACCCTCAATGAGATGAATTGACACAGTGGCTGCAACAATGGGCTCAAGCATAATAACAATTTTGAGGATGGCACAGGATTAGGCAGTGTTTCATTCTGTTGTGCATAGGGTCACTATGAGTCGGAACTGACTCGATGACACCTAACAACAACATTGTAAGTGCTTGATATACATTAACTAATTTAATGCCCATAATAATCCCAGAGTGTTTCATTATCCCTACAGTACAGATGAGGAGGTGGAGTCCCAGTGACTCAAGTAACTTCCTCAAGGTCACACAGCCATTAAGTAGATGATGGATCTGGAATTCATATCAGACAGCCTAGTTCTAAAGCCTTTTGGCTTAACCAGTAGGGAAGACATGATAGGAAATAAATTTTCCTAATGACATAGAAATGACAAAGTATCATTAAAACAGTAGTATAGACAAAATACTGTGGGACCAGAGGAAGAAAAGATTACTTATAGCCAGGAGTATCAAGAGATGCTTTGTGAAAAAGGGGTAGGTACCTCAATAGCACCTTACCTGCTGGCAGGAGAAAACAGGGGAGTGCATGAAAAATCAAGGGAAGGTCAACTTAGCTATTCAACACAAGATGTGAAACAGGGCACTAGAAAGCAAGTTGAGTGGAAAATAAGTTTGGAAAGATTAATTGGAGTGAGATCATGAATGTTATTAGGTAGGGTTACCAGATAAAATACATTAGCCCAATTACATTTGAATTTTTGGATAAACGACAAGTAATTTTTTAGCTTAAGTATAATTTGGACATATTGCTTAGGACATATTTATACTTAAAAAAATGTGTTATTTGTCTGAAATTCAAATTTAACTGGCTGCCCTGTATTTTTATTTGCTAAATCTGGAAACCTTAGCCTGAAATAAAAGAATAAAAAATAAAATGAAATTCTATGATGTCATTTTAGGGTGACAACATTATTCCAAGATACTCAAAATCTAAATTTTGTAGTATGTATCAAGGGTTGGCAAACGTTTTCTATAAAGGGTCAAATAGTAAATATTTTAAGCTTTGCAGTCCATGGAATCTCTGTTGCAATGACTCCACTGTGCCATTGTAGTACAAAAGAAGCCAAAGGCAATATGTGGACAAATGGGCATAGTTGTGTGCCGATTAAACTTTACTGATAGACATTAAAATTTGAATTTCATATACTTTTCATGTGCTCAGAATATTCTTATTCTTTAGCTTTTATTTCAACTATTTAAAAATGTAGAAACCATTATGAACTCATGTTGTTGTTCTTAGGTGCCATTGAGTCAGTTCCAACTCACAGAGACCCTATGCACAACAGAACAAAACACTGCCTGGTCCTGTGCCATCCTCACAATTGTTATGTTTGAGCCCATTGTTGCAGCCACTGTGTCAATCCATCTTCCTCTTTTTCACTGACCCCCTACCTTACCAAGCATGATATCCTTCTCCAGCAACTGGTTCCTCCCGATTAAATGTCCAAAGTACATGAGATGAAGTCTCACCATCCTTGCTTGGCTTCCAAGGAGCACTCCAGCTGTACTTCCTCCAAGACAGACTTGTTCATTCTTCTGGCAGCCCATGGTATATTCAATATTCTTTGCCAGCACCACAATTCAAAGGCGTCAATTCTCCTTTGGTCTTTCTTATTTATTGTCCAGCTTTCTCATGCTTATGAGGTGACTAAAAATACCATGGCTTGGGTCAGGTGCACCTTAATCCTCAAAGTGACGTCTTTGCTTTTCAACATTTTAAAGAGGTCTTTTGCAACAGATTTGCTCAATGCAATATGTCGTTTGATTTCTTGACTGTTGTTTCCATGGGTATTGATTGTGGATCCAAGTAAAAAGAGATTCTTGACAACTTCAATCTTTTCTCCATTTATTAGGATGTTGCTTATTGATCCAGCTGTGAGAATTTTGTTTTCTTTAATGTTGAGGTGTAATCCATACTGAAGGCTGTAGTCTTTGATCTTCATCAGTAAGTGCTTCAAGTCTTCTTCACAGGCCATCTAAAAACAGGCAGCAGGCCAGATTTGGCCCCGGGGCTATAGATTACTGACCCCTGATATACATGGTTCCTATTCTGAAATGGAGTAAAGGAGAATCTGTAAGCTATGACTTCTTTAAACTTTACTCCAGAAACTCTTAAAATAGGCAGAATGTCCCACATTTAATGATAAAATTCCTTTCAATCCAGGAGAGTAGCTTTGGCATTCAGTTTAACCTAAAAGAAATTTAACTCCTCTTTCCTGAACACACCTTGGCAGGTCCCGTGGAATGGGAAGACCGAGAGCATGAACCAGTCAAAAAGAAATCTGATGGGCCAGGTAAAGAAATCAAAGATAAATACAAACTGTTGGAAATATAAAATGACATTTGCCCAGATGGCATATATGTAAGGCTGCCCAGAATATAATTCATCAAGTAGTACTCCTGGAATATGACTAATGGGTTTCCCTTGGAATCTCCTCTCTGATGAAACTGCAAAGTGACTCCTATAAGTAAATCTGGCCCTTAAATTGTTGGATTAAATGTTGGATTAGAGTTGGTTTGTAAATTACTCTGTCCAAGTGCGTTGAAAGGGGATTTTAGGGAGTAAATTCTAAATGTCTCATGGAAGCCATCAGAATACAGGCACAATTTATTTTAAAGGACATAGAAGGAAGAAAGTAAATGAGAGGTAAGTAGAACTGGGGAAAGGAGAAGGGACGAGAGGAACTTGGACCAGCCTCCTCATTCTGGGAGAGGAAACCAAGCCTCAGCCAGTTTGTGACGTGCTGAGGAGTCCACAGGTACTAGTCACAGAACCAGGGGTAGAACCCATGTCTTCTGACTCCCAGCCCGTGCACAGTGCCATCTGGGCTCCACGTAATATGTGGTGGGTCAGGATTTCTCCATGCAAAAAAAAAAAAAAGGGCAAAAACCAAAGCCTCCAAATCAGATTAGATGAGATGTCTCTCTAGTTCCATAAACACGCCATTGCCTCTCTCTCATCGTTCCAGGAATTCTTTTGCACATTGCTTGTCAGTGGAGATGTTCAGGCTCATTTTCATTGCACACCCTTCTGCGGATGCCGTCTGCTGGCACAAATGAGACTCACAGGGCCTGTCTGATCCCCTTTGAGGAACCATAGCGTCAACCTGGCTCACGTATATGTAGGACTGGATATTCTAATATTGCACCAAGTTCTATACAGTGATAGCAGCTAACATTTTAGGTTGTACATGTTGTTTGCCAGGCACTGTACCAAGAGCTTTAGGCACTTATGTTGTTTAACCCTCCTCAAACACTCCGTCCCCATTTAACAGACGAGGAAACCAAGGCAGAGGGAGATTAAGTCATTACGATTTTACTGTGACACTTGAGCCTGGTTTTCTTGTTTCTTATTCTTTTTTGGGTGGAGGGGATGGTTGGGGATACTTGCTTTTCTTATTGTTGGTATTGGTGGTGGTGGTTTTTAAAATAAACAGCAACACAATTCTTATTTCATTGCCATGTTCACTAAGTATTTATTCCCGTTATCAAAGTCAGTGATTGAAATAGTTAATAATTCTAAATTTTAAAATGCCAAATAAAGAAACTCCCAAGGGATACAGATTTGACGGCCTGCTGTTCAGAGTTCATGGCATCCCAGCCGAGAAACCGTCAGCTTACACCCATGAGTGGGACAGACTCTTACATAACATGGTGTCTTCCCTCTCTTGGTTTGGTTCTGACCCCCCAGAGGAGTTAGGTCTCAGCTGTCGAAGCTGCTCAGACCTTCCTCAGAAATCCAGGGGCTCATGTTTAATTCCTTGAGGGTACTGGGACACCCCTTCATGAACACGATGGAGCTCTGAGCAGAGCTAGCCTTTGGCAGACCCTCGAGTCACAGCTACCGCTACAGGAGAGAGCCAGAATCAGGTCCTCCCAAATACATCAGGCATCTCAGGGCTTTCTGTGCATCTGGAGCAGATTGAGCCCAGATGCCAAACTGTGATGTTAGCACAGCTCAATATAGTTAAACAGTTATGATGGAGATAACTCAGTGGTGCATACAGACATGCTCTGAAACAGAAACAGTATCTGTATTGAGCTCTTTACAAAATGGCTTTTAAGGTGCTTTGACTGAAATGCAAATGCAGTGGGAAGCATCAAAGTCTCACTGCATAAATAGAATCCTTCCCAGTGACAATTATAACTTAAGGAAAGAAGAAACCTATATAAAAAGCATTAAACAGCCCAGTTAGCTGAATAGATACAGCTGTTTCTATCTGTGTCAGTGACAGAAATATCTTGGAATGCAATTTCTACTTTTGGTCAAACCTAATTATTATCTGCTTGTGACCAAGTTGGCCTGATATTCTGATTACAGGTTAAAATCGCACCCTGGTTTGGGTTTGGTTTTGCCCTGGCCTGTGTGGAAGGGTCGGCAGGTGGCTCTGTGCTCCAGCACCGCCCCCCGCGGCACCTCGGAGTACCAGGCGCTTGCTAAGTGGGCAGGCAAGCGTTGGGCACAGAGCACAAGTGTGGACAGTGTTCCATTCCTTTGAAATGTTGCTGCTTCTTTCCTTCCAGATAACATCATCAAGAGGATATTTAATATTTTGAAATTTACCTGGGTCCTCTTTCTGGCAACAGTGGATAGTTTCACTACTTGGCTTAACTCTATTTCAAGGGAGCATATTGATATATCCACAGTTCTGAGGATTGAAAGATGCATGCTGACCAGAGAAATTAAAAAGGTAACACTGTTGGTAGAACTCTTTCTGCTTCTTCCCACATTATAAGACTTATAAGACATTATAAGACTTAAAAAATCAGATCCAGAACTCCAAGGAAGATAAGAGAAAATCTTTTCTTTCCAGGGAGTCTTACATAACCGCTTTGCTGTTCGGTACATTTAAATCTATTCCATGCTCAGGATTAAAATCATCAAAACACGCAGCCCTCCTCACTCCCTCTCCCACCCGAGTTTGCAGGTCTGCAGGCTGTCTGATATCCCACCCAGGATAATGTTGTTTGCTCTGGAAAGATTGGTCAGAAACTCCTCCTGGGAAAGCTTGGGATATATGTAGAGCAACAAAATGGAGTTGTATATGGTTTACAGATTCTATTTAAAAATAATGGAAATGCTGCTGTGATTTAGCAAAAATATCTGAGTATAACAAGAGATTTCTTGTTTAGAATTACTTAGTACTATTGCGCACCACAAGGAGTGCTGGTGGCGCAGTGGTTAAGTGCTCAGCCGCTAACCAAAAAGTTGGTAGTTTGGACCAGCCATTCCACAGGAGAAAGATGTGACAGTCTGCTTCCATAAAAATTTCAGCCTAGGAAACCCTATGGGGCAACTCTACTCTGTCCTATAGTGTCACTATGAGTCAGAATCAACTCAGCGGCCGCAGGTGTTTTGGTTTTTATTGGACACCACTAATTAAAAGATTGACATCAGCCTCCAATGTGACGAGCTTCGTTTGCCCCCGTTCAAGGTGTGCATGACCACTGAGAGCTGTCTGCGATGAGAAAGGAGACCTGGGGAATGCCATGTGGTCGTATGCACACGTGCCTTCCTAAGAACTGTTTCTTCTCCCCAGGGCAACGTTCCAACTCGGGAGAGCATCCACATGTACTACCAGAACCACATCATGAACCTTTCCCGGGAGTCGGGCCTGGACACCATCGACCAGCCCCCTGGTGCTGCTGCGGAGTTGCAGGCAGCTCGAAGGATGGACAGTCTAGATTCCCATGACAGTATCTCCAGGTATATCACATCTAAGCCGCAGATTTACTTTTTACAAAGGCAAAAAAGAATGAATGTATGAGGTGAACATAAATGGAAACCACATGGATCCCACCCTCTTGAGGCTATCCTAGTGCGTACAACAAGGTAAAAGAAATACTGTCCTCCCCTAGGTTGGACCAGATAAAAGCAGATACCAGTAACAAGCTTTTAGAAATACCTGTGTGAATCCTGGGCACAGTGCAGAGATTGGAGAATGATCCTTCCCTGCCACAGAATTGCTATTTGTGCGAGGGTTGCATATTTAGTGCCTTTGAAAAGTAGCTGCTCCGCGAAGTATCTTCTCCATTAGGTCTTTTCCTTTCAGAATTGTTACTGTAAGGTCCTTAATAGAAGTTCCTGCGGTGGTTCTGCTAGCTGTCATCTTCTCTGAGGGCTGTGGTCCCTGCATTGTGAAGAGCAGGACTGACATGTGACCCGCACACTGGGTGTGGGCAGTGTGCCAGCAGTAACGACTATGCCTGTGTAGCCTCGTTGTGTCCTTACAATGCTATGAGGTGTACCACTTATCCTGGTATCACTCCTATTTTACAGACGACAAAGTCCAGTTACAGAGAGCTGAAGTAACTTACCCAAAGTTCCATGGCTAGGAAGTCTAGCAAAGCAGACCCAGGGTGCAAACTTGGGTAGTTCAGCCTCAGAGCCCATGCAAGCTCGTGGCCACCGTGTTCTGCTGCCATTCCTTGCCTCTGCCCACTTCCAGGCCAAATTCCAGAACTGACATGTCGTGTTGCCTACCCCAGAAAAGCTCTGAATTATTTGCATCACGGTGTTCTAGATAACTGTTGTCAAGTGTACAGGGCTAGCTCTTAAGTTGAAGCAGATGCCCCTGTCTTAAGGGGAGGAATTATATTGGCTCAGTTGATTAGCTAGACTGGATGAATTACAGATAATGTCCATCTTCATAGGAAAAGAATTGTGTCGCCGAAGACCCTCGTGTGTCTATTTTTTTTCATTAAACATGCTTAAAAGCCCCTATTACACGCCAGGTCCTGGGCTCTATTCTGGGATAGATGCAAAAAGCTCATCTCCAAAGAGTAGTCCTGTAGATGGTTTGAGTCTTGGAGGAATGTGGGACAAGGCCGCTGCTGTCAGGAGGATGGCAGACTGGCTGTGTTCTGGCTGCTGGCAGAAAAGCTTCCGAGTTTCTTTCCAGTCACACTTCACATCCTAAGCAAGGCACAAATGGCTTGGAGGAATATTTGTCCTTCACAAATACTGAATATGTTATAAGATGAAATAGGGGTGGAAAAGGAGCCCACCTTACTGAGACCAAAACCAAAATAAATAGAAATTGAAATTGCAACCTGAATGCAGAGGAGTGGTTAAAAATGTTGTGTTTGGAAGTACTGTTTTTAACTGTTGCTGAATGGCTATATTTGAACTTCTCTAATTGTGCCTTTTTTTTTTTTTTCCCGCTAGCTGATAATTATTGATGCTGATCCATATGTATTGGTCTGGAAAGATATTATACACACACATAAAATCTCAAGTTCTAAAACAATATGATTGTTAAAACCTCATTTTTATTTAAAGTCCTTTGATGGATAATAAAAGAGATATTTTCCCTTTAATTTGGGAATGATCTTTGCTTATTTATAAGTTCCAAAGAAGTAAATGTATTTCAGCTATTACATATTTTCATGAGCAGAAGAAACACTTAGGACAGATACCTCTAAGAGTTTCAAGGTCAAAACATTTATTTCCTAATGGGATTCTGTTTAAGATGACTTAATTCCTGGAATAAAATAACTGATGATTAGAACGATGTGTCTTGTTTATAAAATGTTCTTTTTCATTCTCCTCCCCAACCCTTCACACGTTTCTCAGTCATTAATTTCCAAAACCATTAGTAATATCAAAAGCTACAAACTAAAATGTTAATATATCATTTAATTGACGAGTGTTGTAAGTGTCTCTTAAAAGCATCCTACAATCACCATTTTTGAAAGGGGAGCTTAAGTCTTCTCCTTTGACAGACTTTGTTGAAATCAAAAGTTACTGCTTTTTTGTATTTTATGTTTACAGTCATGATGACGGCCTTGTTTGGAAGCTGCCAGCCTTCTTAAGTGTGTTCTTGTTACAACACTTCTCTCTGTGTCTGCAGATCAGTGTGTTTAAACTGAAGGATGTCCTCTTTCATTAGTTTAATACTAGAACCGGAAATCCTTTTTTAGCCCATTCTTCCAGGCTCTTACCTATTCTAGTTTATTTTATTGTGACCATCCTTTAGGAAGAGTGGAGACGGCGTGGGCATGTGTAAAAAGTGAAGGGTGTGGGTTGCGAGAAGGTGGGGCGGAGGCAGAGGGAGCTGAGATGTAGTGAAAGTCAGAACAGCAATGCTGCTCGCTAGTTACACGGGTGCATGGATGTAATAATTGGGAGAGCTAAAAGTTTCCAAATCCACCAACTTCATAGCCTATTCATGACTAAACCATTTTTCAGAAAAGGGGAACTTGTACAATGAGAGAAATGCTGAAATACGTCAGTTATTCAAAATCTGTTTCTGTTTTGCAAAGGTTTGCCGTAACGTTTCAAGGTTTTCATCAGCCTCGTGAATATCACACGAGCAGGCTTGAGAATATCTACTCTAGAATCGAACTCTGAATCAGACAAATCAATGAGAATATAGAAAGTGAACTGAAAATAAATTTATCCTAAAGGAAACTTACATAATTCCTGTGTTAATGACTTTTTACTGCATAACAACTGACAATATGTCTATTAAGATATTAGGTAAATATTACAAGTCATAACTTAGGGGGAAGAAAAAGAAGAAAGACAAGCTTAAAAAAAAAAAATTCAAGTAACTGCCTTTAAATCTGACCCAGGATTACCATTATAAAACTGTACTCTTGGTCAAAAACTGTAGGGTAGGAGATACTTAAATTCATTAATTGCTTTCTAACAAAAAATAGCCCTTGAATTATAAAATGGTCAATTAATAAATAAATTTACTGGTAGAAAACAAGCACTTTTAAAATTGATTTTTAGTATTTTGCTTTTTTCCTCAACCTAAATAAAAGGGATCCATTTTTCATTAGTAAATGAGCCTCCATGTTTGCCCTGCTCTTAATGAGTGAGCCATGTTTCTTGTTTCTCTGCTTCTAGGGACTTCCACATCTCCAAGCAGCCATTTTTTGTCTAAGCTAGCGTCTATAGGAAGCCGTCCTGATTTCTGGGAAGGCAGTAGTCCTCCCTAGAAAGCTTCCCAGTGCAGGAGATCCCTCTCAGACACTACTTTCTTCAAATCCACATGTTAAACGACACATTTATTTTTTAATGTTTTTTTTAATGAACTCAGATATCATTTACCTTTCCAAGAAATAAATTAGCTTAAATTGCTGTAAGACGCATTTCAGTTACATTCTAAGGAGATTCTCAGTCAGGGAGGGGTGACTGTCAGTTGAAATATGTCCCCAGGAGACTGCTCTGTGCCTTGTGGAGCCACATGTCACACACCCGCAGGTGGTACACCTGGCCACAGGGGCCTGCTGCCTGGGCCTTGTTATAAATCTCCTCCTCTCCCTTTCAGTTTAAAACTATCTGGATGAGAAGTTGGTCACCCTACAAATAACCCAGAATCTTTGGGTTGTGTGGGTTTTGAAGGTGGGATGATGTGACAGTAGAATTACCCCAAGAAATGAAGGGAAACATCACTTATAGGTTAGAACGGTCAGTTCCCACACAGAAAGTTTGCTTTCAGCCTGCAGTCTACGAAAAATTCATCAGGTCGCACCTCTAAAAGTATGAGGACCCAGTTCCATCATCTCATGAATAGTGAAATTGGAGCCCCAAAAAGGAGGATTGATTTATCCAAAATCCAGCAGCCAGCTAATGGCAAAGTTGGAGCGGAAGCCCAGTCCTTTCTGTGCTGGGTCCACTGCTTCTTCTAGTCTTCTACTCATTCAGTCCCATCCATACAGTGGCATCTGAAGGGATGAGGGCCTTGTTTTTCAATCCATCTCTTTTTTTTTTTTTTTTTTTTTCAGTAGAGAGTATTTGAGGGCTCCCCGTTGTTTCCCCGCTGCCCTATCCCCTTCTGGGCCACATAACTGTGCACAGCAGTATAGCTCCACCAGTGCCCTTTGGGGCTGTGCTGTCAGACTGGGAGGCTGAAAGCCTTTTAACTACCTCCATGAGTGAGTGACTCAGAATCCCTCCTCCCTAGCTCCCAAAGGCTGGCACATCCTGGTGGCTTTCTGTCCTCAGAGTCCTTCTGGCTGACTGCATAAGGTGGTACAGGCTGGGCACACAGTCATTGCCACCAATGGGCCCGCTCAGCCTGCTGGTGTCACCCTGAATCCTGAAGGGCCTGCACACCTGCACCAGCAAGTCCCCAGTGCTCAGGTTGGGAAATAAGTATGCCTGTAGCCTCCCACATAGGCTCTCTGGAGCTGTTTGCTCCTCCTCATGGTTTAACTCTGTGTCTGAACTGAAACCTTACGTGTCATAACTCTTATTTGCTTTTCTCACTTAGTAGCCTTGCCCAGTGGCATCTCCTTCCTGAACCTGCCATCATTCCCTCCTCAGTTGTTGCCTAAATGATAACAGGAGATGAGGACTTAGTCAACAGGCCCTCTCCCTCATGTCCTCTTCTCAAGACCTAAGACATGATCAAGAAGAAAAATCAGGCAGAATGAAAAGTTAACAGACAAAATGAAAATGAGCCCTGCCATGGCTAGAGTTCTTTGATGTTTTCTTTGTAGCACTTGATTTTATTTTCATTTTGATGTTGGTTGATATCCAGTTGCATATTAAACCAGCATCTCTTCTACACGCAAGGCATCTAGTTTGGCTTACCTGAACGTCACTCAGAAAACAGGGTGGGAACTTCATTTTGCTGTAGTCATTCCTGAGCTCCTCTCTCTCATTTTGGAGGCCGTGTTTAAAACAAACAAACAAAAAGATTGAAATCTTGCATGCAGATCTTTATGTGAGCAGATATTTCTGCTTAAGCGATTTGGTTGCAAAATGCTCCCAGTGAACTCAGGACTGGGAGCTCCAAATAAAGCTTATTTTCTTTAAAAAACAAACAAAAAACCCCGGTTGCAAAGTTATAATTATGTAAATTCCGATTTGTAAGAGAATGTTTGGGACTTGTAGTCATTCTATTTCCTTGTCCCAACCAGAGTCGCATTTCATAATTCATCATGAGCCCATATGTTTTCTTAAATCCAATAATCTTGTGTTTTATTATCCTGCCAAACAGGTCCTTTCCTCTCTGTGGCCTTTGTGTGATGGTCATTATCGTTGGTGTTGTGTGTGGTTTGCTGCATGGCCATGTGTTGGTCAACTGATCCATGTGTGAACTGATCTACCACTGGTGTTTTAACACTGTGTCTCTGTAACTGTTTGCGCTGCTAGCTGCTACACTGAAGCAACCATGCTGTTCTCAAGGCAGTCTACCCTTGATGATTTAGACGGACCAGAAACTGTTCCTAAAACCAGTGAGCGGGCTCGACCTAGGCTCCGTAAAATGTTCAGCATGGATGCATCCTCGTCATCAGCTGACAGTGGCAGTTTAGCATCCAGGTGCTTAACTTGTGCATGCTTTGTCTCCTCGTTCGACCACCTTCCCCGTGTCGGCGCAAGCCTGTGTTCTTTTCATGTCTCTGTTTTATTTTTTTCTTTTAAGAATTTGCATGCCTAACAAAAGCATAACTACCACTCTTTCTGAGACTTATATGAGTTCTCAGGAAAGTATTATATTAAACTAACCGCTTCCTAGTTTTTGTCTGTTAGGGATTTTTCAAAATCCTCATTACTAACATTGTCCTCCATGTTTTAAGTATTTCACACTTTCCATTTTCAGAAAGATAATCATGTTCTCTCCATAATTGAGAGCTTATGTAGGCCACCCTTAAAGGGGGAGATCTGTCAGGAAAAGTAGGTAACTTTTTCTCCTGCTGTTCTCAAAAGATATATGCAGTAGAAAAAAATCAGAAAATCTGCCATATGCATTCAGCTTTAGTTGATACGGAAAAAACCTGTCCACATTTTAAATGCATAACTAACACAAAAGCCAGAATGTATTTTATCATTGACTTTTGAAAAGAATATTACTGTGCAGTACAATATATCATCTTTTAGAACAAAGCTTGTTCTTTTAAAAAAAAATCATTTCTAAACAATAAGAATTATTGTTCATTCCTAAATAATCATTCAGAAATAAAGTTGTGTGCAAACAACACATAAACTCAGTTTTGAGTCCCCTTAGAGCTTGGAAGCACCAGCGCCATTCAGCTTCCCCTGATACCACAACAGCCCAATCCAAAACCAGCTCCATTCCGAGTTCCTACAGTGGTGGAGCAGATGGTGCCACCTCCCTGGGCTGGCAGCCACCTGTCTGAATCCAGCGCTGCAGTGCACGGGGGACTGGCATTGGTGGGAACGCCCTGCCGTTTGAGATGCCCTCCGCAGGCGTGTGATCTGCTGTGTGCCAGCTGAGCCCTGAAGGCACCCTCAGCCACTCAGGGCTGGATATGCTCACACTTGGTTACAGTCATACTGGAAGTTAAACATGGTGTGGGGTTGGCTCCAGGTCCGAGAAGTCCCTGGGTTGGTGGGTCAATTTCACAGTCCTCTTAGCAGGCTATGTCTAACGGAGGTAAGTCTCAGCAAAACCCCACATTGGCCTGCCATTCCCAGAGCCTTCTGTGTGCTGTGCATGCTCAGGGCCAAAGCCCTGGGAGATTGAACGCCTGAGTAAATCAGGTTCCTCAGTCACAGGATTCTGAGAAGGCCTCTGCCACAGGCTCATTCATTCATTCATTGGCACATCTACACTGGTGTCTGTGACAAGAAAAATGGGTACGACTGAGCACTGGAGAACCTCAGAGTTTATGAACCCTAGGTGATCATATATGCCATTCAGGTAACAACAGTATGTCTCTAAGAGTCTAAGAGACTCCAGGCCAGATTCCAAGTCTCCACACCATCTCTGACCCTCTCTCTCTTGGGGACTGGACTCAAGGCATGCCACGAGCTTCACTGGTGTGGCCGCCCTAGTTTCAGGTCTAACCTCTCCTGCAGGACCCAACAGGCCAAGTCAAGGGAGAGAAAAGTACAAGAAGGAGACAGAGGGTACAGGGGAAAAGAGCAGAACACGAAGTAAGAGTAGAGAAGCTTAAGGAAAATGAACATAGAGGGGAATCAGTTGAAGTAGTTGGGAGGAGAGAGAACAGGTGTACACTCGGTGGGGAAAGCGGGTAAGGGACAAGCAGTTAAAAGGGAGAAGGGCCAAGGGGAGAGTCACCCTGGGGAAAAGAAAAAATGGTGGGCTTTTCCATGTGTAAGCTCAGGAAACTCAGTGGGAAACGGTGGGGAGCTGGAGAGATGGTGGCGGCTCAGTTGAATGTAGTCATCACAATAAGCAGAAGGAAAAGGATGGAAAAGCAGGGAGGAAAAACAACTGCTAAAGGAGTGTGGCATTTTAAATAAAGCAAACATGATTTAGTTTAGCCAAAGTTGTATCATTCCTCTGTGCCAATCATCCCCTGTAGGTCTGGGTGGGTCTGTTGCGTAGGGCAGAGTAGAATACATATTGGTCAAAGCCTACATCACAAAACTGGCCAGACTTATCACGTCCATATGAGCTGTTAAAATAGATATTTTAAAATACATATGTAGCTATGCTGTAATAAGTATATCTTGATCTGGAAATAAACACTTGAACTCATAGCTGTGAATCTTGATACTATATTTAAAAAAAAACCTGTGCATATAGTGGGTTTGGCTCTTTGTGAACCATGTGACTTGCTGTGGGTTTAAGCTCTATCAACGTTTTCTTCTGAGAGATGGCTGTTTGCATTTTCTGCAGAGAAGTGGGTGGTGAATATACTGAAGGAGCAAAGCAGATGGAATGCAGAAAACAAATGGGGGATTGAGTTTTGTCCCATGCCTCTGTGTTTTGATTGGGGAGTTCTGCTAAGGTCTCTTCAGAGCTTGAAAGTAATGCAGAGTGTTCTTGAGGTTGAGACAAGGATTCTGTGCCCCCCCCCTCTCCTGACAGTGAGCCCACGCAGTGCACCATGCTGTACTCCCGCCAGGGGACCACAGAGACCATTGAGGAGGTGGAGGCTGAGCAAGAAGAGGAGGTGGTGGGCTCGGTGCCTGAGCTCGAGGATGCAGATGATGAGTATGAGGCCGAGGACGAGGGGGGCGCCGAGGAGGTCACCCTCACCCCTGATGCCGAGTTGCCACAGTACTCCACCATGGAGGGGGACGTGGAGGCCCCACCGTCCTACAGCAAGGCCGTCAGCTTTGAGCGCCTCTCCTTCGGCTCGCAGGAGGACTCCACGGGCAAGAACCTCATGGTGGTTAGCCCGGACGACAGCCGCACAGACAGAATGGAGTCAAGCATCTTACCTCCCTTGACGCATGAGCTGACAGCCAGTGAGCTGCTTCTGAACAAGTAAGAGCCCAGTAAGCAGAAAAGACAGTTGCCATTGAGCTGACTCCAATGCATGTCGTCCCCATGTGTGTCAGAGTAGAACTGCACTCCATAGGGTTTTCAGTGGCTGATTTTTCAGAAGTAGATCTTCACATCTTTCTTCCAAGGTGCCTCTGCGTGGGCTGGAACCTCCAACCTTTTGGTTAGCAGCTGAATGCATTAACCATTTGCATCAGCCGGTAAGCAGAGCAACACTATACAGAAATAATCACTTAAAGGTGGACTGAATTTTGTATAAGAAAAAATTCATGTGAAAAAAGCTTAACTAGACATTTAGAGCAAACAGGTACAAGCTTCAGTACTTCTGTGACTGCATGATAGAGCTAGTAACTCATGCTGAGGCATCTTCCCCTAATAAAGTCTGATATTAGGTCTGGAGCCATAGGTTGTCTCCAGGAGAAACACAGAGGGCATAGGACATGCAGGGGTGGGTGCAGCAGAAAGGATCACGCAAAATGAAAAGAAGTAAGTTGGAGAAATTATAGACAACTGTATTATCATGTGGTTTATTTTTACAGGATGTTTCATGATGATGAACTGGAAGAGTCAGAAAAGTTCTATGTTGCCCAGCCACGATTCTTGTTGCTCTTCTATGCCATGTACAACACTCTTGTGGCCCGCTCAGAAATGGTGTGCTATTTTGTAATCATCCTCAACCACATGGTCTCTGCGTCCATGATCACCCTCGTGCTCCCCATTCTGATCTTCCTTTGGGCCATGCTGTCTGTCCCGAGGCCTAGCAAGCGGTTCTGGATGATGGCCATTGTCTACACAGAGGTATGGGTTGATGGAGCCCCCGCCCATCACTCGGGAAGCCCACAGCTTTGTCCCTGAGTGCTTCTGCTTCAGTGGCCTTCCCGGACTCCTGGGAAGGAACAACTAGTTGGATGAATATTCTTAGAAACACAAGTGATCATAACTAACAGTTACTCAGTTCTGGCAATTTCATCTATCTTTTCACATTTAATCCTGCACAAAATAGGTGCTAATGTCATTCCCATTTAACATAAGGAAAGAGCTTAAATAATTGAGATTAAATAATTGCCTCACAAATGCTCAACTGGGGAGTGGTGAAGTAGGCTTTTGAACCCTAGTTGACAGACCTGTAATATTAACCACTAAGATAATAACACTCAGTCAGACTCAAGCATAGTGCCTGGCACCGGTGGGAGTTCAGGGAACGTACACGGGATTAAACCAAACCAAACCCACTGCCATCAAGTCAATTCTGACTTACAGCGACCCTATAGGACAGAGTGGAACTGCCCCACAGGGTTTCCAAGGAGCTGCTGGTGGAGTTGAACTGCCAACCTTTTGGTTAGCAGCCGAACACTTAACCCCTGCTCCACCAGGGCTCCTCGGATAAAACAGTACAGGTATGAGACAGTAAAGCACTTTGAATATAGTTTGATGTAACACATGTATTTTCCATTTAAAACCTATAAGGCAATTTCCACTCATCAAATTATATATGAGCTCCCATTTAAAATCTGAATCACTGAAGGGGAGAGTTGCCAGCCCTTTTCATCCCACGTGAGGGAGCAAGTGGCACTGTGCCAAATGATACAGACCTGCCTGCTCTCCTGCCTAACTAAAGAGGGAGAAGATCACACGGTCCCATGAAAACTACAGCACTGGAAATAAACACCAGGCTCAGTAGACTTTGCATTGTGGGGTACTTTGCATTCACAGGTTTGTGAAACAAAGCTAATTTTCTTACCTGACATGTGAGGAAGTGTTTACATTTATAATGGCAGTGTAATAGGTTCTTAAAGGATTACTCATGAGAGATGTACAGTTAGAGCCTAGAAATTTTGTAGTTTTATATTCAACAGTAAATTATAATTAAATATAAATTATAATTCAACAGTAAAGATACGTATTAAATCAGCTCAAAAATATTCAGTTTAAAGTACCCATACCATGTATCTTGTTTCTGTAAGGAAAAGCAGAAGTGTAAAGCCAACTATGGATCGTTTGCTGTGACTGGCTTGCCCATCACAGTCTTGCCAAAATAATCTTTCTTCAACATCACTTTCATTATGTCACTTACTGCCCCTGAACGTAAAATGACTCCTATTTGGGAGTGCTACTACTCTAACAGCTCTGTGTGACTGAGTTTGTCAGATCCCCTTTCTTATCTAGGGCAGGAGTAAGAGGAGGTACTGTGAAAGTGGAAAAGAGTGAAAGAGCTGCTTTCACCTTAAAAATAAAATATTCCTGGTTAAGTTAACTTTGGGTTCTCTACCTTCTCTGTCACACTGAGGAGTGAATTAAATGATGTGAATTCTCTCTGCATTTGGACTCTGTGCCCAACATCAAGAACTATGGTGGGCATGAGAATGCAAAGATCTCAAAAAAGAAAAGAAAAAAAAAAGAGTTGTTCTGTTTTTTCCATGCTTCACAGACTCACATGGATGAGCATGATGGAAAGAAATACTCACCCTACAGTGGGGCAGAGACCTGCACGAGAGGTGTGCAAGCTAGTGAGATGCGTGCTGTACCTCCTTCAGCCTGGGGAGGGAGGATAGGTTATCATGATGACTTCCCAGGGAACAGTCTGAAGGGACCAGGGCACAAAAAGCAACGGGAGCTCCAGTCACTGGGCATAGTCTTTGCCAAGAATCAAGACAGCAGGTATAAGAGAGCCTGGCGTATGCCATGAGTTGCAGGTGGTTTGTTGTGGTAGGTGGTGGGTAGAGAGTCCCATAGGGAACTGGGAAATGCTGGCAAGGATTAGGCCAAACACTTTATACTATGGGTGAAGTGTTTGACCAGGGCCATGACCTGACTAGGTTTGTGTTATATGAAGTTCATATACAGAATAGATTAGAAGGCCATGAGAGTGGAGGCCTGGAGACAGTTAGGAAACAACTCTGATTGTCCGAGTAAGAGCTAAAACTAATAGGGTCTGAGGTGAAGCAACGGTGATTGTGTTGAAGATGAGTAGGTGGATGACAGGAATTTCCGTCACTGAATAGGACTAGTTGGGGTGTGAGGGAGGAGGGGAGAGCCAAGAGTGATGTCCAGGTTCCTGTGAATGCCGTTCACCAAGATGAGGAGCACAGGAGAAAGAGCAAGAGATGAGGAAATAGAGGCATCAATTATTGCCTGTTCTTTGAAGAAACTTGACTATGAAAAGAAAAGAGAAAGAGGATAAGAGCTAAAAGGAGAATCTAGGTCAAGAGAGGAAGTTTTCAAACATATTTTTATTGGTGGATTGCATATATTGCAATTAACTCCTTGTGATGTAGACATTAAGGATGTGCTTGAAGGAAACCCACAGATTTCCCCATTGCCTTGGATCTCGGCATCCCCTTCTCTACAGTACTCATGCCTGGAACTCACGGCAGCACAGTGGGCAACTTTTGCTTCATTTACTGTTATTTGTTTTTGAGAACTTCCAATGAGCAATAACATGGTGAGAAAAAAGAGATAGGAGGAAACTGAAAATTACATACATGAAAACTCTGGTGTTTCCTCATAAAGATTACAAATCAAAGCAGCACATAAAATAAATACGTAAACATGTATATTTCTGTGCAAGTTTGTCCAAATTACCATATTTTCATTGATGAATAATTATGTAAATATCTAACTAAATCAGTGTAAATTAGTCAGCTCTTCCAAAACAGTGGAAATGAACCGTCTTGTAAAGCAGTGGTGTGCGTAACCGCTGGTGGGAATATGATGCTGCTCGTGTTACAGAGCAGACCGTCTGTTGGGAGGATGAGGAGACCACTCCACAACTGTGTGTGCAGTCCCACCTTCAAAGCTGTGAAATGGACATTGTTTTCTTATTTTTTTTTTATCTTCCTGTTTCTAATATATAAATACTCCTAAAAGAGGTGATCATTTTATTTCTACTGTTTGCATTTAGGTGGCAATTGTGGTCAAATATTTCTTCCAGTTTGGGTTCTTTCCCTGGAATAAGAACTTGGAACTGTACAAAGATAAGCCTTACCACCCACCAAATATCATAGGAGTGGAGAAGAAGGAAGGCTATGTCCTTTATGACCTTATTCAGCTCCTGGCTCTGTTCTTCCATCGATCAATCCTGAAGGTACTACATGTTAACGGTTGACCGACGTGTTTATATTAAGAGCGGCCCTGTTGACGTTGCTGGAGAACCTGAGCGTTAGGATTGGTTGTGGAACCTTCTGTTCTTTTTTTCTTTTGTTTAAACAGAAAATTGTACTCATTTAAGTGGACACTTTTGCCAACACTGTGGTGCCCGATAACAGAATTTGTAATGAACCGAGGAGAAGATATCCCCATGGTTTTATCCTGGGATAAACATGCCATAGTTAATCCACATTTGTGGAGAATTGCCTGAGTGGTGTGCAGTATCTTAATGCCTAATACATTGAATTCTACCCCTAGTTTAAGCCAAACACCAGAGAGCTACCATCTGGGGGAGGATCGTCTAGCCTCTCATCTCCATCCCAACCTGTGCCTACCTTCTTCCAGTAGAATTGCTTGTGTTGGGTAGTTTCTTGTCGTGAAACCATAAGCTTTAATGAGAGACCACATACTGAATGGTCATAGGAAGCCCAGGGCTGTGCTCTCTGTGAGTGTACTTTTGAGGAGCCATTCATTATACTGCACTATAAAGACCTTTAAGGAGCCCTGGTTGTGCAGTAGTTAAAGTGCTCGACTGCCAGCAGAAAGGTCAATGGCTCAAAACCACCAGCAGTTCGGCAGGAGAAAGACGTGGCAGTCTGCTTCCAGAAAGATTTACAGCCTCAGAAACCCTATGGGGTCACTATGAATCGGCATTGACTCGACAGCAGTGATTTTTTTTATAAAGACCTTTATTGGGGAAAAGTCTTCTCATGCCCAGTAACTATTGTCCTTCTTCTGAGCACCTGTATGATTTTTTTCCTCACACATGATGAATTATAAGCTAAGTCTTTAAATATACCACTGAACTCTAAAAAATAGAAATTATTGCATAGCATACATTCATGTATTACCATGCTTATTGGCACAACTTTACTTTCTCTTATTTCAGATTGTCTCCTTTTATAAAATATTTTAGATTCATTTTGGCTGATAATATGAAAAATACTTTTAAGAATAACAAATTTTTGTAAGAACAGAAAACTACCCTATAGCTTTTGAAAAATTAAACCTTTTTGAAATACTGCAACGGAAACCAAACAACTAAAACTGTGTAGAAATTTCAAAAGTGGTTTAAACTCTCCTCTTTAGTATGAATTGCTGTAAATCTGATCATTAACTGGAAGAATTAATAAACTTAAATAAATACACCACTGAGAAAGTGGTGGAAGAATCTAGATAAGTTAAAATGTTAGAAAAATAGAAAACTTGTTAAATGATTTGAAACAAATCAGTATAGACTGAAAAATCCCGTTATGAAAAGCTGAGATGTTTGTTACGTTTATAAGAAGGATACATTTATTTAACATATTAAAGGAAGTAATATATTTATAAATATTTAGGACTGGTCTGTAAGTTAGGTGACTTTGTCTTTTGGTGAATTGATCATTGTTCTGAGCTGGCTTTTGACCAGCTGATTTGTGACAAATTGGCCTGGAGCTCTTAGCCTCTGAAGTCGGAGCCAGAGGGAGGAGTGCCGGCCTGGGAGCCTAGGAAACAGTGAGCCCCCGGAGGCCTCCACACAGAGTAACAGGAAAGCCATCTGGAGGGCGGCTTCAGCCCAGGGAGCATCTCGCTCCAGCAGGGTCCCTGATTTCCAGCCACGCCTCCTCCTCACTTGTCCAGCAACCAGGCCCAGTTTCCTTGCAACAGAAAGCAGGCCCTGCAGAATGCGCTTGGTCTTGGTAGCACTTGTGGGCCAACATTTTTTTTGTTGAGTGTTTGACGCTTTGTTTCTGATTCTGCAGTGGGCAATTCAAGGATTCCCATCTTTCTATGCAGGCTGGGGTGGGGGGAAGCATCGTCACTCACGTAAAGGTACTTGGTGAGCATGGGGTGGTGGGGCTAAGTTCACCAACTAATGCTTCAGACTGATGCTTCCAGTGCTGGTCTCCAAGACAGCACATGGACAGATGTGTTGTAGAAAGCACTGTTGCTCCAGAAACAAGTCAAATGAGTTTCCTTTCATTTCAGCTCTATCGGCCAAACATTATGGGTCTCCACGTCAATTAATTAGCCAAGTTCTTGGTACCTACACAGAGCCGCTGTGTTCGACTAGCCCACTGTAAAGCTCTAGAATCTTAGAAAGATTGATTTTCCAGTCTTGAGGGACAGTGTGTCTGATGAGCTATTGCAAGTTGGGCGCTACGGCCTGAGTTGTCCCTTTCTGTGCTTTCTCAGTGTCACGGCTTGTGGGATGAAGATGACATCACTGAGGGTGGCACCCACAAGGATGAGTCAGAAGACGAGCTCTCACTCACTCGTGGCAGAAGGGACTCCTCTGACTCCCTGAAGTCCATCAACCTGGCAGCCTCAGTGGAGTCAGTGCACGTACACTTCCCAGAGCAGCAGACGGCCATCCGAAGGGAGAGCTCCAGCGGCAGCTCTGAGGCATCCCAGACATCCAACTTTTCCTCCAACAGGTCCAAAAGAGGTATCTGTTATAGCGTACCCCTAAGAGGGAGTGCCTCCCCGAACTGCCTTTGTTTCTGGTGCCAGCGGGTTGGGGCAGGCAGCTGGTTGGGGATGCTGTCAGGAGACATATCCCGTGGTGTGAGGGAAATGGCTTAGGAATCAGGCAGACCCGAGGACCAGTCCGGCATGGCTGTGCGAGCCGGGCGGTGGCCCCATTGATCACAATACCTGATTCCACTCCGGGCCAGGGTTTCAGCCAGCTGTGGAAAACGGACAGCACCCCACCTTGTACCAAGGGCACGAGAGCTTTGAGATCACACCCAGAGATCCTGCTACGTGTGCGCAGAGTGCTGCAGATGGCAGTGCGTTTTGAAAATATATTTAAATTAGTCAGTGGCAACTTTCAGCTAAAATACCTAGTTATTTCCTAAGCTGGTTGTTAATTTTGTAGTAAGTAATGAGTATGACCTAAAGGTCGGCATGCACTACAAGCAGCCTCTGTTTAGGGAATTGGGCTTTCTCACTTGTGGTCCTGATGTCTGAAGCGTTCAAACACACGAGTGGTGTGTGATGGGCCTCAGAACCCTGTTCAAGGCAGACACTGCCAGGTCATGCCGTGTTCACTCTGCAGTGAGAGGAACGAGAACGTGGGGAAAGGCCAGGGCACAGGACAACCAGGGCAGCCCACATGTCTACTTGCCCGTGAAAGCAGAGTCCAAATGGCTCAGTGTCACTCCTAAGGGCACCTGTGTGTTGACAGCCTCCTAACACAGTCTCACACACTGCATATGCCATGTGGCTCCAGGTGCGCTTGTCATGTTTATGCTAATGCACCTGTTCCTCATGATACATCTTGGTTTCTGTCTGTTTCTAGGCAGCACAAGTACCCGAAACAGCAGTCAAAAAGGAAGCAGTGTTGTCAACATTAAGCAAAAAAGCAAAAGGGAACTCTATATGGAAAAGCTTCGGGAACATTTAATCAAAGCAAAGGCATTTACCATAAAAAAGTGAGTAAATGAAAATATTTGGGTTGTGTGTTTTATTTGAGGGCAGGAGAACTTGTAGCAATTATTTCATATAAGCCAGAGGTCAAGCGCAAAGTGACTTCCCATATCATAAATTTCATGTCATCCTCTTAAAGAAGGATAAAATGGCCCCTTATTGTATTGTTTTTAAAATAATCATTCAGGAAGTGTGGTTAATTTTTATATCTGTTGCATTGGTAAAAACACTTTTTCTATGTAAACAGAATAGAGAAGTAACTTGAAGGGCTGGCAGCTTGTATTACCAGGCATTATCATGGCGAAGTCCAACCAAAAGATCAGTTGCCGTCTCGTCAAGTCTGACACGTGGCAACCCCAGAGGAGGGGGCTAACACTTGTGTGTTAGAGTAGAACTGGCTCCATGGGGTTTTCAATGGCCAGATTTTCAGAACTGACCACCAAGCCTTTCTTCAGAGGAGCCTCTGGCTGAACTGGAACCTCCAAACTTATGGTCAGCATCTAAGCGTGTTAATGGTTTGCATTGCCTGGGGACTCTGTAAAAAGGCCAGTACCCAGGAGAGTGCCCCAACCCCTTCCAACTATCAGGCGTACAGAGAGGCAGCAGCCATGATCTGGAATGGAAAAGGGGGCAGGCCTGGGAGCCGAGCCGTGAGTGGGCCAGATGCCGCCACATGAGGGAGGCCCAGAAGATGGTCCTGAGACCAGGTGTGCTGTCACTCCCCAGCAGAGCCGTGAATTGCAGGCAGAACTGAGAGCACGGAGGAGAGAGAGCAGAGGTGGGCTGGCAGACTGGGGAAGGAAGGCACGGTGCTGAAGGAGAGCAAGGTGCAGGCACGGGACCGGAAAGGGAGGAGGGACCTAATTCCAAGCCGAGTCTGGCCCTCTGAGTCCAGGCATCTTCTCAGTTACTTCTCACCTGGCCCTGTGAGTCAGGTGTTATCCTTGCCCATTTTACAGAAGAGGAAACTGAAACACAGAGCTCAGTAGCTTGCTCAAGGCTCACAGGTAGTAATTGAATACCATTACAAACCCATACACTGAGTTTACAAGGTGTTATGCTTCAAGAAGATAAGAGGTTTGGTGACACCATTGCCAGAAACAGCCTTAGTGACTGTCTTGGCATGAGGACAGTGGTGGTTCAGTGGTAGAATTCCTGCTTTCCATGCAGGAGACCCAGGTTTGATTCCCGGTCAGTGTACCTCATGCATAGTCACCACCCATCTGTCAGTGGAGGCTTGTGTGTTGCTATAATGTTGAACAGGTTTCAGCAGAGCTTCCAGACTAAGATGGACTGGGAAGAAAGGCCTGACAATCTACTTCCAAGAATCAGCCAATGAAAACCCTGTGGATCACAGTAGTCTGATCCACAGCCATTCATGGGATGGCACAGGACTGGGCAGCATTTTGTTCCTGCTTTGCGTGGGGTAGCCATGGGTTGGGGGCCGACCCAATGGTAGCTAACAGCAACAACTACCTGGGCAGCAAACTTGTGCACACTTTCTGCTAGAGCGGGAGCCAACACAGTGGGGGCCACGCTGGGGTACTGGGGGGATGGAGGAATGCGGGGCTGCTCCCTACACCCACTGACCGCAGCAGCTAGTCCTTCTCCTACCCTGTCCTTCTGACGCAGCGGGTGGGTCTCTGTTTTGCAGGACTCTGCAAATATACGTGCCTATCAGACAGTTCTTTTATGACCTCATCCACCCAGACTACAGTGCTGTGACCGATGTATACGTGCTCATGTTCCTGGCGGACACTGTCGACTTCATCATCATTGTCTTTGGCTTCTGGGCCTTTGGGGTAGGTTGGGGCAACGCCACCACGCATCCGTGTACTAGGAGAGAGGTCCCTTCTGTGTGATGGCACTTGGGCCTGATGTGTTTCCTCTTTCCAGAAACACTCGGCCGCAGCAGATATCACCTCTTCACTCTCAGAGGACCAGGTCCCAGGGCCATTCCTTGTGATGGTCCTCATTCAGTTTGGAACCATGGTGGTGGACCGGGCTCTCTACCTCAGGAAGACTGTGTTGGGAAAGGTCATTTTCCAGGTCATCCTTGTGTTTGGAATCCACTTCTGGATGTTCTTCATTTTACCTGGTGTGACTGAGAGGTAAGGAGCTGGAGACATGGCCCCACTTTAATGTAAATACATTCCACAAGGTTATCACCATATATTCATTTGCACAACCAAATTACAGATACTGGCAAAGTCGTGGTAGAGCCACACCATGGGTGGGAAGGGTCAAATATTTTAATCAGAATTCAATCCAATGTTAATCCAAAGTGTGAATCGACTCCTCAGAATAGTTTAATTGGGTCTTAATCTGCATTAATGGAAGTAGAGTTTTTGTAGGAGAGAGGTGACCACCTTAAGGATCAGAGCTCACCTGGGGTCCTCTGGGCGACATCTGCCTCTGCACCTTCTTGACACAGAGATGAAGTGGAGCGTGGTCAGGAGAATATGGAACCACGTCCTGTGAGAGCTATGTGGAAACCCAGGCTGTTTAACTAACTGGTAGAAGAGAACAGAGGGATGGTGGGTGTGGATGACAATAGTACCTGCCTAGAGGGTAGTCATGAGGATTAAATATAACAGTGTTTGAAGATTACCTTGCAAGGGGCTTGGCACACGGTGTCTGCCACTGCTGTTGGCATTGCTAAGGGTCAAAATGGGGAGTGGGAGGAACAGATGGTTAAGAACAGAGCAGCCTGAAGCACAGTAGGGCAGGGGCTGGGGGATCCTTGAAGGTGGCTACTGTCTGTCCCTGTGTTGCCCTGAACTTCAGCCCCCGGCAGATTTGACCTTTCTTCAGCTCCCATGTGTGCCATGTGCTCCCACAGCTCAGTCAGTCCTGCTCTCCTGCTGTGTCACGCTCCCTCCTCCTCTTCTCTCCCACCCTACCTCACCAGGAGCCCAGGTGGCTCAGTGGTTAAGAGCTCGGCTGCTGACTAAAAGGTCCACAGTTCAAATCCACCAGCTTCTCCTTGGAAACCCTATGGGGCAGTTCTACTCTGTCCTATAGGGTCACTATGAGTTGGGATCGACTCGACGGCAACTGGTTTGGTTTGGTTCTCTAGACATCAGTGCAGATGCCACTTCTTCTAGGTAGTCTTCCCACAATATCACCCCAAAACCGTATCTGCAACCAAGTTAGTGCTTAACGCAGGAACAAATGAATGAGTCAGTCAGCAAAAGAAAAACAAAGCACATCACTATTAATGGGGAATTTGGGCCTGTTAGGGCATGAAGTTACAGCGTTCCCAGAAGGGGAGCAGGGGAGTGTCCAGACAGTGTACTAAGAATGGTATCTTTAATTAAATACACCTGAATATGTACACATGAGTTGGTGGTACCTCTCACAGTAACGGGTGTGGAGAGCCATGGACCCGAGGCCACTGTTGTTTGGGATCATTTTGGAAGCCCTCCCTAGGAATTGCTCTTTCTGTCTGTTATATGTTGTTTTAGACATCTTCAGGCATCATTGCAAAGTCTTCATGTTTAAACAGTAAATTCGGTCTTTATGTCATACCTCAGGGTCACAGGGTCACTTGTCACCAAGTCTCATGAGTAGCATGGTCAGCCAAGCTGGAGATGTGACTATCAAGTAATGAAAAATGGATTTTACTTAGGTAACTCACAAACCAACTCCCAATGTAACTTCTAAAGAGGAAACCCAAATTGCTGTAACCATGACTGCAGCAAGGTGGCTGCTGTGCCTTGGATGCTGAGGCTCTGACCTTCAATTTAGTATAAGAAGTATTGTTTTATAACAATAAAGGGTGACATTGCAAATATTTTAAAAAGGAAAAATAGAATTAGGATCATTTTCCTGAATTTAAAGTTGTCAAAAACAAACAACTCTGAACACCACTAACAGATTGCTATGCAGGTTTAATAGACAGTTTGCAATTGGGCAACACGTCATCACCAAGTGAATCAATGCTCCGATTAATTAGGATTTTTAAAGTGCTATATATACAAATTTATCAGGAACTTTGAACAAAAATTTTAGTCTCATGGATAAGAGAATTGTCTCTGTTTTCATAAAGCAAAACTTATTTTATTTCACAAGTGGAACTAAATATTGATTGTTACACCAAAGACACTTAGTTTTCTAGCGCTGCTGTAACAGAAATACCACAAGTGGATGGATTTAACAAACAGAAGTTTATTTTCTCACAGTTTAGGGTGCTAGGAGTCTGAATTCAGGGGGCCGGCTCTAGGGGTAGGCTTACTGTCTCTGTCAGCTCTGGGGGAAGATCCTTGTCTAATCAGCTTCTGTTTCCTGGATCCTTGGAGATCTCCATGGGTCTTGGCATCAGTCTTCCTCCATCTCTGCTTCTAGCTTGTATTTAATAGCTTTTATGTCTCAAAAGAGATTAACTCAAGATACACCCTATACTAATCCTGTCTCATTAACATAAAAAGAACAACCTATTCCCAAATGGGATTATAACCACAGGCAGAGAGGTTAGGATTTATAACGTATATTTTGGGGGGGGTCACAATTCAATCCATAACATTCTACCCTTTGGCCCCCCAAATTCATTTCCTTGCCACATGCAAAACACATTCACCCCATCTCATCATCTCAAAAACCTTCAATCAACTCCGAGTCCAAAATCTCATCTTCTGAATCATCTCAATCAAATATGGGTGAGACTTTAGGCGTATTACATCCGGGGGCAAAATTCCTCCTCATCTGTGAGCCTGTGAAATCTAGAATACAAGTTGTCTGCTTCCAGAGTACATGGTAGAACAGGCACAAGGTAGACATTTATATTACAAATGGGAGAAGTTGGAGGGGAAGAAGGGATAACAGGCACCAAGCGATTCCAAAACCCAGCAGAACAATTTACATTAGCTCTCAAGGCTTGAAAATAATGCTCTGTTCTCGAGATCATCTAGGCTCTGGCCTTGCCCTCCAGACTGTGGGTGTTGGCCACACTCTTTGGATTCTGGGTAGAAGCCCCTGGCCCTGAGCTTCACCTCTACATTCCAGACCATCTGGGATGGCAACTCTGCTCCCTCAGGTTTAGGTGGCCCCATTCTCCTAGTTCATCTGAGTGGTGACCCCACCCCCTGTGCCCAGGCAGGCCCCATTTTTCTGCCCTTGGGCATGGCAGCCCCATCCCCCAGCACACCTTCACAGCAGCCCCACACTCTGGAATCGAGTTGACGAAGATCCAACTCTTTGAAACCGAGAAGGCCCTGCTTCCTGATCTCCTTCCAACAGTTCTGTTAATCTCCAAGCTGCTCCAGGATGGTTCTTTTATTTTCTTAGAGGACAACAGATGTAGTTCCTTTGGCCTGTTTCCTGCCTGTAGAATTCTAAGAGGTAGACAGTGTTCTTTCCTTTAAATCCTACTCTGTTCTCTTCAGTCTAAGCTGATGGTTTTCCACTGTGTTAGTTGGTTAGATCCATGAGTCACAGGCTTAATCTCTTTAACAAAAGATTGTATAGCCATGTCCTTGGTCAACATTCCAGGACACGTGTCCTTAGTTTGTACAATAGAATTTTCCAAATCTTTAAGTTCTGTTTTCATTTTGCAGAGTTCATTTTTAAGTCTGTCTCTTTCCTCTAACATTTTACTATAAGTGGCAAGGAGAAACCATGTAGCCCCTTTAAGATCTTGCTTAGAAATCTTATCAGCCAGATAGCCAAGTTCATCACTTACAAGTTCTACCTTCCACCAAACATTTGAACATAATTCAGACAAGTTCTTTACCAGTGCATAAAAAGCATCGCCCTTCCTCCATTGTCCAATCATATGTTCATCATTTTCTTTTAAAGCCTCACCGAAGCACATTTAACGTCCACATTTCTAACAACATTCTGTTGCTGGCACCATATGTATTCTCTAAGGTGATAGAGACTTTATCTACAGCTCTCCTAGCTTCTGTCTGAGCCTTCACCAGAATTGCCTTTGATGTCCATAATTCTACCAACAGTCTCTTCAAGGCAATCTTAGGCTTTTATTATTAAACACCTTAAAACTCTTCTAGCCTCTACCCATTACTCAATTCCAAAACTGCTTCCACATTTTAGGTATCTGTTAGAGTAGCACCCCACTCTGCAGTTAAAATTCTGTCTTTGTTATCTAGTGCTGATATAACAGAAATACTACAAGTGGATGGCTTTAACAAACAGAAATTTATTTTCTTGTAGTTTAGGAAGCTAGAAGTCTGGATTTAGGGTGCCAGCTCTAAGAGAAGGCTTTCTGTCTGTGTCCGCTCTAAGAGAAGGTCCTTGTCTCTTTAGCTTCTGTTTCCTGGATCCTTGGAGATCTCCATGTGGCTTGGCACCAGTCTTCCCCCATCTCTGTTTCTATCTTGCCTTTAATCTCGTTTATACCTTGAAAGAGATTAACTCAAGATACACCCCACACTAATCCTATCTCATTAACCTAACAAAGACAATCCATTCCCAAATGGGATTATAACCGCAAGAATAGATGTTAGGATTTACAACAACACGTATTTTTGGCGGACACAATTCAGTCCATAACAGACACCTACTAACCCGGTAATTCTCCTATGTCACATAGTATATTAGCTCAGATTATAAAATAGAATGCAGATTAAGGCAAGCTGTTTGTAAAATATTACAATTTTTGTGAGACCATTATGAATCTTATGTTAGTCTTTAAAGTAGAACAAATATGATTTTCTCTACAATTATTTAGTTATAACTCTTCCCCAAATAAAAGAAATGAAATCCACCATCCAAGATAGCTCTGAAATTTCTCTGATATTTAAAAGCGTCAGATAAGCATTCTCCACCAGCCCTCATGTTGTTGTTGCTGTTAGCTGCCATCAAGTCAGCCCCTAACTCATGGCGACCCCGTGCACAACAGAATGAAACACTGCCCAGTCCCGCACCATCCCCATGATTGGTTTCAGATCAGACCATCATGATCCATAAAGTTTTCACTGGCTGATTTTCAGAAGTACATCACCAAGCCTTTGTTCCTAGTCTGTCTTAGTCTAGAAACTCCACTGAAACCTGTTTAGCATCATAGCAATATGCAAGTCTCCAATGACAGACAGGTGGTGGCTGCACATGAAGCACCTTGGCCAATATTCGGAGAAGAGGCCTTAATAAACTT